ACTGAAGGACATCTTGACTGCTTCCAAGTTTTAACAATTATGAATAAAGACAGTATAAACATCAATGTACAGGCTTTTGTGTGGATATAAACTTTCATCTCCTTTAGGTAAAAACCAAGGATTATGACAGCTAGATCATGTGAGAAGAGTGTGCTTAGGTTTATAAGAACCCTCCAAACTGTTTTCCAAAGTGGCTGTACCATTTTGCCTTCCCACCAGCAATGAATGGGAGTTCCTGTTGCCCCACATCCTCACTAGCTTTTGATGTCACCAGTGTTGTGGATTCTGGCCATTCTATTAGGTATATAGTCGTATCTCATTGCTATTTTAACTGGCAGTTTCCTGATGACATATTATGTGGAGCATCTTTTTATATGCTTCTTTTTCAACTGTGTATCTTTTTCATCTGAGGTGACCATTAAGGTCCTTGGCCCATTTTTGAGTTGAGGGTATCTTGTTTTCTCTTACACTTTCTGGTCAGAGAAAAAAATACAGAGTTTTGTGTGTGTGTGTGTGTGTGTGTGTGTGTGTGTGTGTGGTTGTTCTAATGACAGTCTCCATTTTGGATTTTGCTGATTGCATTTTTATTTTCACTTGACATTGCCTTCTCTTTCTTGTATTTCTTATGAACTATTATTTAGACCTAAACAGAGGCTTGATTAAGTTAGTTACTTTGTTTTTGGAAGTGAGGAGGAAGGCTATTTTAAAGGTGGTATTTTAAGTTTCTAACTTGCATCAAGATGGCCATTTCTTTTTTGGTGATGTTATTAGTCATTGATAACCGTTACTTTAATCAATATGCATTAATGAACACATTCAATAAGGGTTTTAAATTACAATATTCTAATTATCCTTTTTTATTAGTCTGAATATTTCTATAGAGAGAAATTTGTCTTCATGCTTTAATAATTCTAATGAACATAATTAATAGGAAAGGCAAGATAAATGCACAATTTTTCCCTTACATACTAGTTTTAAATGTATTGAAGTGGTACCTTAGAAACATCCAAAGTTGACCACATGATGTTTTGTAGTGTTATACATGAATTCATGAATTTAAATATTCTATATATTTCAACCATTATAGTTACTCTTACTGATACTCAAAATTATCTATATTTGACTATTAGGAGTTTATTTAAATTGCCTTCTGAGTCTTTTTGGCACACTCTTGCCTTCAAGGACTCATTGCTTCTTGGTAGGACAAGATATTCCAGCCCCGTCTTACATCCATAGGCTTGCTAAGGATAACCTATGAACAAACCATGGTGCCGTTTTTATGCTATGTCAGTGCTGGTTGCACTTGTTGGTACTTGGTTGGCATTGTTTCTAGACCTTTTCAGTGTAGACAGCTAAGATATATATAACTCAGATGGGAAATGCCGAATTCAAATTGAGATCACAAAGTTTTTCTTAACCTCATTCATCTCATCAATGATGTTTTAAGTCATAAGACTGAACAGGGTCACTAAGAAAGTAAATATAGATAGAGAAAAGAAGCCATTCCAAGGACTGGACTGTGGAGTACTCCACCAAAGACTTAGAGCAAATGATCACTGAGGCAGGGGGAAAACTAAGGGAATGAGGTGTTCTGAGAAAGAATGAATCTAATCAATCAAAGAGAAGGACACAATCACACAGTGGTGTGCAATTCTGTTAATAGAACAATTAAAATGAGGTCTAGAAATTGATCATTATATTTAATTGTGTGAAAATTTTTGATGCTATTAATGAAAGGAGTTATGGTGGAGTGGGGAGGCAAAAAAACTACTAAGTGTTAGTGGGAAAAGAATTGGAAAAGAGGAATCTTATATACAAAGTACAGACTAAATCTTGGGCCTGAAAACATGGACCACATATCCACAGAAACAGAAGGGAAGACAGAAAAGACAAATACACATTGAGGTGGATAGTTAATGTGGTGATGGCAAATTGTAATATTTCTATCCTGATTTTTTCTATATCATCATTAAATTCCCTAAGCAAAGTCATCAGCTGATAATGAGAGTTGGAAACCAATGTTGGAACTTTGAGAAGTCATTCAGGAGAGAGGGAAGTGTTTGGGTTACTAAAAGCTTTTATGTGTAACAAGTACTATAAGGCACCAGTGAGGTCAGTGGTCATACATTTAAAATAACTATTCTTTAACTATTTAAAACAATGTAGATGAAAACACAGAGTAGACAGAAAGTTGGACTTTACCCAGGTGTGGCTTACCAAGGTAAAACAACAAATTAATAGATAGATAAGAGAAGAATTGAGGCTGTATGAAAGTGAATGACCAAAATGACTACATGAAACTCAACTCAGGTAAGGAGCGAACTGAAAGTATGAGTGTTATAGGTTGAATTGTTTCCCCCAAGAAGACATACAAGATTCTAACCCCTATATCAGTGAATGTGTCCTTATTTGGAAACTGTGTTTGCAGATGTAATCAAGTTAAGACGAGGTCATTTAAGTAGCCCTCTCAGGGGTGTCCAACCAGTAGCCCTGGACCACATGTGGCCCAGGATGGTTACAAATGTGGCCCAACACAAGATCGTAAATTTACTTAAAAACTTTTTTTTTTGCTCATCAGTTTTCATCAGTGTTTGTGTATTTAACGTGTGGCTCAAGATAACTTTTCTTCCTCTGGCATGGCCCAGGGATGCCAAAAGTTTGGACACCCCTGTGCCTAATTCATAAAGACTAGTGTCTTTAAAAGACACTAGTGTGATGACAGAGGCAGAGATTAAAGTGTTGAATCTACAAGCCAAGGAATACCAGCAATTGTCAGCAAACTCTAGAAGGTACAAGGGGTAATGACAAATTCTCCCCACAAGTTTCAGAAGGAACATAGCTCTGCCAATGCCTTGATTTTGGGCTCCTAGCCCAGAACTATAAGATAAAAAATGTTCTATTGTTTTAAGCCTTGAGGTTTATGATACTTTGTCATGACTGCCTTAGGAAATTCATTTATTTATAGTTAATTCATTTATGGTTAATTTCACACCATAATGGCAGTTGAGTAGTTGTGACAGAGATCTGTGGCCTGCAATCTAAAATGTGTACTATTTGACCCTTTACAGAAAAATTTCGCTCACCCCTGGCCTAGAGTATGAAATAGGATACACCCAAAGCAAGAGTATATATGAGAAGCTCTGAATATCATGTAAAAAGTATCATGTTACTCAAAACAGTAACATTAACTGAGGACAATAGAGGTCAGAAGGGTACCATGTTAGAGAGTGGATTTGAGCAAGCTGGGAAGAGACCAAATTACTCTCAGGGGAGAATCACAAATTTTTGGTGAAGAAAAGTAGGCCCTTTGCACTTTTGGCTGGTAAATACTGCCTCTCCTTCGTGCATCAGTGGCTGCCTGCTGCACACGTTGAAAGTCAGAGATCTATTGAGCTGTTTACTCACTATTCCTGATGCAAAGGCTGGGGTGATTGCTAAACTAAAATATTTGCTCTTTCAGAGTCTGGAGGCGTACCGTTGCTTTATTGTAAGGCTTGTTCTATATTTTTCTCTCATCGTTTTTTTCTTCCATAGTAAATTATGCTGATTATAATATTTTATTATTGATTTATGATCCAGACCATTATGTGAACTGAAATTATATATGTAATGGTAGCTTCTGGTCTTTAATGCTTTGTTATTTCCCATGTACTTTTGAATACATGCACAATATAATTTGATAAAAAAAAACTCCTGTGAATCTCTTTTTTTTTTAATAAAAATTATGCTTTACAAAGGAGGAAGTTAAACTCAGAAAAGTTAAGTGACCAGGTGTAACATAGGAGGTCGAGCCTAGGAATCTGGGCTGCTCATTCAGATGAGCTGAGAAAACCCTAAGGAGGACTGGATGAAGCAGACATGGCCTTTATTACTCACATTCCAGAGAGCAACAACAGGGCAGATCAGCAAAGCAGGAGGGCACCTCCCTGAGCCCAGACTTGTTTTAAGGCTTAGTCCCAAACTAAGGGGGCATGTGTCTTGCACGTGACTTTTAACTACCTTACCTCAGTGTGTACGCGCAGAGGGAAAAGGTCAAGAAGTCACTACCAAAAGGAGATAAGGCAGGAATTACAATCGATTTCCAAAGCAGTGCACATTCCCTCTGGCCAGGAGCCCTCCAGCCAGCCTTCCGTTATGGGGTTTGGAAAAGCCGTGGCCAGCATGACCCCACAGCAGGTCAGAGTCACAATCATTTAAGAATGGGGTAGATCCTGGAGAATTCTGGTAGCAAATTCATTTATTAGTAACAAACCAAATGCAAGCTAATGAGCTCGAAATCCTCTAAAATGGTACTCTTGGGAAAAGAATTTATTAGAATTGTAAAATTTCTCAGTGCAAGGAGTTATCTTGCCTTGGAATTTAGATAGGATAACTAAATGCCAAAAATTCAATTTTTTTCTCCTATTTTTAAGACTTGGTAATTGCGGATGTGAGCATAATTCTTTCTGGAGAAAACTCTGCAGAGTCTTGATCCTGACCTGATATTTAGTCCCTGCAGATTCTAGAACCCTGATGGGAAAAGAAACCATGCAGGAATTTAGCTCAAGGAGCCCTTTTTTAATAATAATAATAATAATAATAATAATAATAATAATAAAAAACAGGATCCAGTGATGTCCTCAAGGACCTGCTGGCTTAAAAAACGTCTTGGAAGGAGAAGGAGGGATCTTTGTTACAAACTTCCGTCCCTCCTCCTGCTTCTGTTCCCTTGCCCTCTGCCCCCTGCAGAGTTGTGTTTTCTGGGAATCAGCAAGATCACAAGTGGTCTTTTCTTTTTTCACTCTCTTCCATAAAGAAAGCTTTATCACGTGTGGCCTTAAACTTGCAGCAAATTGCAAAGAAATGGCTCAAAGACTTCAGCTCTTTCTGTGCCCTGGGAGCTGAGATGCATGTCAGGGGCTTTGCCAGCGTGGTCTGCTTTCTGCCGACTGCCAGAGAAAAGAGGCCAGGAGCAAAAAGGAAAGAAAAGAGATTGCCCAGGGGTGAGGCCATGCCCTCCATCTTTTCTTCCCCCTAATTTGCTCTTTCTGCACCCATCCAGCACTCCCCAACTGGCAACACTGCTCAGAGCTGCTGGGTCATTCAGCCCAGTCTGCTCTCCCAGCCTGTGGAGTGTGGTCCAGCCTCTTGCTGAGCACATTGAGAGGAACTGGCTGTCTTTGACCTCCACCTCCAGGTAAGATTTGGTTTCTGCTTTCCTATTTTGTGACCATCACGTCAGATTCTCACAGGTGAAAGGTTAATAAACCCTTGAGTTCTGCATAGTGTCTTATCCATAACATTTTTCCACAAAAGTTCTTGGGCCCCTTGTTAGGCTGGTGGAAATAGAAGAGATGGGTTAAAGAAGTCAGACACACTCAGATCTAGGCTCACATTTTGACTCTGATGCTTATTATTTGGGTAGTTTTTGACAAGTTATTTAACTGCTCTGAGCCAAAAATGTATATATATCACCTGGATCATAAATAGTACCTATTAAATCTGATCTACACAAACACTTGTATTGGAGGGCCAGCCTACTAAAGAACACACATTCCTTCTCTGCAAGTACCATGAAGTTATTTTCCCTCCTGAAGGGAGGGATCCTGGTGTCCAGAAGACAAGCTAGTAGAATAGTTTTCTTCATGAGAGATGACTAGGAGAAGGCAGTGATGGGAGGTGGTGCCTTTCTGACTTTGGATCGGTCTTTGGAGGCTGACCGCTGCATTGTGGGTCCCAAGACCAAGGCACAGGAGATCATGCATTTGTGTCTCCAGCTACAACTGTCTGTGTCATCTGAGCTCTTTAACAATGGGGAGCCTGATTTTCAAACTCATGTGAACAGAGAATTCAATTTTTTAAAACTAAAATGAAGAAAAAAAGCCACTTGGTTTATTTTTCTTTGACCTCCAGAATAAGTTATACTACAGTCCAGGGTGTTGGATGAAAACATTGCCGTGACTCTTTTTCTGGAGTAAATCTCTTTAAGTAGTAGGAGAATGATGAAGAATTTACCAAATGCAAATCTTTCTAAATAACCGTGTGCTTTTGCTCTACTTCTGCGGTTGCAATAAAGAGAAAAGGAGAAAGAGCACCTGCAGGTCCCCAAGATCTTTCATTCATGTCACTGAGTTTCTTCCTATTTTCACAGAAAAATGAAAAACTCAATGCTCATAAACTAGCCTCCTTGAAACATCCTGCACTTGATATGTAAATTAGCCATCAAGATAAAATTATATCTTCTTTTTTTATTGTTGTTCAAGTACAGTTTTCTGCCTTTTCCCTAAAATTATATTTTCAGTAAAACTATTTAGTGTCAAAATTTTAAACTGGATATCATTTTGCCCTAACACAGCATCCACTAGGATGACTACAGTTCTCTTGTTTTGGCATCGCTCCTGGATTCTAGTTACACTAATTTTAGTGTCAACATCTCCAGACACAAGAAGGCAATGTATTTTGGTGTCTCAAGTTTTTCGTATTCTTTTCAGCATAATTTTTTCTCTTTAGCATGAGCATTCTGAATGTAACCCTTTTAATATTTTCAATATACAGGTAGGGTAAGTGATAATAATTTTTTATTAAATAGTTTATTTACATTTTCTAGTCACTGGCAGTAATATTATGTCTAATGGGAACTATTATTTCTAAACTTCTAAAACAGTAGGTCAATTTGAATTATATAGTTGGTTCTGGGAAGAAGATTGCATTTTAAACTGTGCATTTAATATTATTCATTTTGTATTTTAAAATCTTTCAGTTTTATATTTTTTTGCTTGGTGATATTTTTATATCTTTATTACTTTAAAATATTTTTATATAAGAAATTGGTATTTGATAAAGAAAGCTTAGAAAGTAACACACAAAACATTTAAAAAACTTATCTGCAATATCACCTATAAGAAATAATGTTAACATTTTCTTAATAAACTTTTTTAAGTTTTGTTTCTATACATATACATATATGAACATATATGGGTGCTTCTTTTATAAAATAGAATGTTATTTATACTGTTCAGGAGCATGTATTTTTAAAAACAACTCTGATGAAAATTGTTCTATGAAACTATATTTACTCCTTTATACTAATTTCTAAGGGTTTTAAAAGATTTTATTGCATGAGTATTCCATAATTTATTGGACATTTAGTTATTTTGATTTTTTAAAATCAAGTAATGGGTTTTTCTGGGTATTTAATTAAAGGTACTCAGTAGTTTTTACTAAAGAAACCTATTTAACATCATATAACGCAATGTTTCCTAAACACTGGTTCATTGCTCTTACAAGTTATTGTTCTGGAAAAGTAGTTTCAGTGATGCAATGAATATATGAAGCTGGCTGGTATCAGATAATTGTAGAGAAGAATCTCAATGTTCTTAGTTTCTTAGAGTTTGTCTTTTTAAATTCAGGAATGATGAATTTTATTACTTTCAATGAAAAGCGGAGGGGAGAGAGAGAAACGCTGATGCAAAAGAGAAGCATCAACTGGTTTCCTCCCATATGCATTCGAACTGAGAATCTTATGCACCCAAACCAGGGAGTAAACTCACAACCTAGGCATGTGCCCTGACCAGGGAATCAAACTCACAACATTTTGCTGTGGGGCAATACTCCATCTAACTGAGCCACCCCAGCCAGGGCACAGAAGTTATTTTACTTTTTAATTCTTTCACTTAGATTACTTTTGTGGGCAGTCCCTGAGCCATGTAGAATCCTAAAGATGTGAACAGGCACAAAACAGGGTCAGAGTATGTGAACATGTCCAGGACTAGGTAAGGACAAGGAGGGTGGGAAACTAAACATAGAAAGGGAGGCTGTCTTTCTTACTTAAGGAAGGCCAGAGACTACTTTTGCTTGAGTTAAATCAAAGTCTCAGATATAAATTTTGCTGCTTCCTCATTGGCCAAACTAAAACAATACACAAATTGGTTCATTTTCTTTCTTTTTTCCCTTTTCTTTCTCTCTTTCTTTCTTTCTTTCTTTCTTTCTTTCTTTCTTTCTTTCTTTCTTTCTTTCTTTCTTTCTTTCTTTCTTTCTTTTCTTTCTTTCTTTCTGCCATATTTTAAGCCTTTGGATATTGCAGACTTACAGAATCACAGTGTGCTCTATGGCTCCACAATGGGCTTTTCTATCCATTCTGCTAATAACATAGATTTAAAGGCTTTAAAGACTTAATTCTAATGAAGCAATACTCAAATGGTTGAATTCCTCTTCTTCCTTTCCTGCTTGCTTCTCCTTGAAACTGGCAAGACCACAAAGTTAGCAAAATTCTACCTCATTATTTATTCCTAAGGCAACATTTAAATTTGTTCTTTGCCATAATGAGGCTTAAACTGGAGGGAATGCTGGCAACCAAGTCCTGATAGCAGGCTTAGTTCATCAAACATCCTGGTCAATTTTAATTGAGTAACTTTGCCAGCTTACTGTGGTACAATAAGGGACCTTCATGTCAAATTTTGTCTACAGAATTATGATCTACTGTGAAATAAAAATATTATTTAATAAACTATGTGAATTTGAATGCAGTGTTTTTGTTTTTTACTTAAAATCAACTTTGACAGATCCGAGTCAAGGAACATTTTCATAATGGACACTTCATCCAAAGAAAATATCCAGTTATTCTGCAAAAATTCAGTGCAACCTGTTGAGAGGCCTTCCTTTAAAACAGAATATTCCCCCTCAGAGGAGAAACCACCGTGCTGTGGTGAACTAAAGGTAACAAACAATTAAATGCTAAAAAAAACTGTAAGTAGTTAACTGAAGAATAACAAAGAATTAAGAGGAGTTGGTAGTCTTGTTTCTCTGTCCAGATGCTTTTCTATACAATATAACTAAAAGCAATTTTTTTTCTTTCTTAAAAAGTGATCTCAATGCAATTTATTGAAACTGCACTTTGCCAGGCAGTGAAAGCAACCTCCGCCTGACCGTCTAGCTTAAATTCCTTTCCTTGCTCATTTGAATTCCCTTTTAAACAGAAAGCAGAGAGAAAGGAGAACCTAATATTTATTAAACATCTACCATGTACCAGCTACCAGATATTATACTATGTGTAGTTAATCTATAAAGCATTACATCATTTCCATTTTAAAAATGAAATATTTGACTTCTTGATACACAGGAAGGGATGGAGGGAGTTCAATGGTGCTCTTTGTCACTCCAAGTTCCTGTTATTTCTTGGTACCAAACATTCACTCAACAAATATACGTCTTTTTCCATATTAATGCTGACCCACACTGTGGTTACCCTATCATACACCCGGGTCTAGCAAAATACATAAGCCAGTTATCAAAAGGTTGCATGCACTGCCAATGTGAAACACACAGCCATGGGTGCTAAACTTGTTACATGTTGGTTATGGTGTTTGTTTTATTTTCTTAACTGTGATTGGCTCTTCCCTCTCTTTGCTTCACCATACAAAGAATCTTCTTTCAAAGTCAAGACTCCTTTTAATGTCCTTTGAGAGAAGGAGGAAGGAAGAAGAGAAAAGGAGTTCAACATACATTCAGAGTAAAAATGCTGTAACTTCCAAGAGAAATTTTAGAAATATACATGCACTTAAGGCTGAAATGCTTGAATAAAATTTTCAATGACAACATGCTTGTTACATTTTTCTCTGTTTGAATTTTTTGTTTGTTTGTTTGTTTAGTAAGTTCCCAGTTGCTGTTAGGCTAGAGTCAGACTAAGTGTGACCTGTCATATTTTCCAGATGTTCTTGGGTGCCTTGTCTTTTGTTTACTTTGCCAAGGCGCTGGCAGAAGGCTATCTGAAGAGCACCATCACCCAGATAGAGAGAAGGTTTGAAATCCCTTCTTCATTGGTGGGAGTTATCGATGGAAGCTTTGAAATTGGTAGGTATTACAGATGCCTGACTTCCCTTTCAAGTTCAAGGTCTTCTAGGCATGGCTGAAGAACATCCTCACTGCAAGCCGTTCTCTCTGAGCAACCACAATGTATTTCCGGGTGTTCGTTACTCTACGGGTCATACATTTCAGAGTTCCTAGAGTGAGAGACTTCCCTGGGGGAGAGGGTGAGATGCTATTAGTATTTCGAGTTTAAAGTATGTGGGCAATGTCTTTACAGAAGAGTCTTAGATCCTGGAAGCTCTGTGATTCAATATTTAGAAGAACCCAAATGGGCTGTATGAAAAATTATTATAATTATACAAGAAGTTAAACCATTAGAGGGTGTTTCTACCCAGTACCCAAGGAAGAGAAGAATTCTGTTGACAAGAACAGTAGAGCAAAGCAGATAATAAAAATCCTTCACTCAGGTGTCTTTGGTTAGCCATTAACTATAGACACTCTTTTAGAATTTGAAAAGACCAGTTGAGTTCATTCAGAATTTTGGAAGGACTTGAAAGGACGTGATCCCAGTTAGCTTCCTGAATTGATTAATAAGAGGCTTTAATTCTTTGTTAATGTAGAATAGTGGCTCTGTGGTCACTACTGCCAATATGGGACTCAAGTATATGCTGTAGTAAAAATCTCTGATGGCTACAGCTTCTGCTTCACTCGGTAACTTTCCCCAGATGATACTGATGCTGTTAGCCAACGGACAAAGTTTGTGTAGCAAAGATGTTCAGAAATATCGGGTCATATCTTTGCTTTGTGTAAACTCCTTAGGTAGTTGATTTACTCCTTGATGCCTGCCCTACCTATGACCCTGCACTGAATGAAGGGCCCTGGAGACTCAGGGTAAGGGTGACACACTACATCATGAAAAAACAAATACAAAGAGGTAACTGGTGCTACTCAGAAGAATAAATCAAACTCAGACAGGAGGACTAAACACATAGAAAGCTAAATATCAATGACACTTTATGCTCACTTTAGATTATAGAATAAAAATATTTTAAACTGAAGAAACTTAAAAGAATCTGCCCTGGCTAGTGCATGTCAGTGGATTAAGTGGCAGCCTGAGAACAAGTCACTGGTTCAGTTCCCAGTCAGGACATATGCCTGGGTTGCGGGCCAAGTTCCCAGTCGGGGGTGAATAAGAGGCAACAGATACACATATCTCTTACACATTGATGTTTTTCCTCCCTCTCATTCTTCCCCTCTTTTCCTCTCTTTAAAAGTAAATAAATAAAATCTTTAAAAAAAAAGAATCGGGTCTAAACTATTTTTTAGATTTTCAGGTCCCAGAACAACTTGACAGATTAATTCTTCTAGACCATTCTAAGGATAGAAATTATTTATTGGATTAGACACAATAAAATAATTTCAAGTTTCCTTACTTCCATTACAAAATTTTATCTGAAACATTACAAGTTTGCTCTAGTTATTTTCTTTTCACTGTTCTCCAGGAAGGTACATTTTTTTCACCAAATTTTAATATTCTCTTCTTTCCTCTTTCCACATTCCTTCCTTCTAGGACTCTGGACCTATTTCAACCCTCTGTCTCTAGCTGTCAATTCTTCTTTTTTTGCAGAACAATTTCATTTATCCTTTCACATCATTTGGCATTATCATCTAATACATGCTACATGCTCAATTTCATTTCAAGTATTTTTTCAGGACACAGGGTTTGTTCTCCAACAACCACAGAGAATTGCCAAGAAAATAAAATTTTTCTATATCATGACCTGCTCACATTTCCAGATATTAACTTCTGTTTCAAATATTTTCCATGTATTTTCTTTCCCATAGATAAAGAGTTTTGCTCTTTTGCATTTTAGTATGTAATACACTTCATATTTTAGAGCAGTTTTAAGTTCACAGAAAAAACGGATCAAAGATGCCGATATTTTCTGCACACACCCTGCCTTCACACACACATGCCCTCTCCCATTGCACACATCTCTCACTGGACTGGGACATTTTTACAACCGACAAACCCACAAGGACTCACTGTTATCATCCAGAATGCACAGTTTACCCGAGGTTCATTCACCCTTGGTGTTGTACATTCTGTAGGACTGAACAAATGTACAACGTACATCCACTATGTGAGTGCCCCACTGTGTACCACCGCTTCAAAAATCCCTCTGCTCTGCCCAGTCACCTGTTCCCTGCCCCTCACCCTGAAAAACACAGATCTTTTTATGGTCTCCGTAGTGTTGCCTTTCCCAGAATGCCATATAGTCGGAATCATATAGTATGAAGCCTTTTCCGATTGGCTTATTTCACTTAGTGATATGCATTCAAGGTTCCTCCATGTCTTTCCATGGATAACTCATCTCTTTTTAGTGCTAAGGCAACAGTCTCTTTTCTGAATGAATCACAGTTTATCCATCCATTTATTAAAGGACATTTTAGTTCCTTCCAATTTCTGGCAGTTATGAGTGAAGTCTGTAAATATCCATGTGCAGGTTTTTATATGGACATAAATTTCCACCTCCTTTAGATGAATACCAAGGAGCATGGTTGCTGGAACATATGGTAAAATATGCTTAGCTTTTCCCTGGCTGGGTAACTCAGTTTGTTGGAGCACTGTCCCACACACCAAAAGGTTGCAGGTTCAATTCCGATCAGGGCACATACCTCAGTTGTGGGTTTGATCCCTGGTTGGGATATATTCAGGAGGCAGCCAATGAATGTCTCTCTCTCTTTCCCTTCCTCTCTCTCTAAAATCAATAAGAAACATATTCTTGGGTGAGGATTAAAAAATGTTTACTTTTTTAAGAAACCACCAAACTGTCTTTCAAAATGGCTATATGATTTTGCATTCCCAGCAGGAGTCATTTTTGTTTTATTTATTGTGACACTTTAACACAAACATAGATGTAATTATCAATATGTGCGATACAAAATTTCTTCTACTAAATGCTTAACTGTTGAATGAGAAATCTTATACTCAACTTTTTCAATTTGAAAGTTAAATGGAGGCTATGTATTTCTAGAGCTATAAAGCCTGAAGCCACCACCGTGCAATCCACTTTTCTCACTATCACTATTGTTCTCAAGGTTATTAAAATTACTGCTCTTTTTACATTTGACTAAAGCTGGCAATGTGAATAAACAGTAGTAAATTAAATGATTGCTTACAGATGTAAGGAAACACTCTTGCTAGAAAATTGGAAACATCGAGAAGGACTTTAATTCACGGCTACCCATCAGCCATCACAATCAATTGCCCCAGCATTGCTAAGTTCTTGCTTTGTCTAATGTTCCAGATCTTAAAAACTACATTTTCCAAATGAAAGTGGTTTAAACTTTATAGCTCTCTGATATCTGAGACCGTAAAGAGTGTTCGTCAAAGTCTGTTCCAGGAGCCATCCCCACCAACACATTTGAGCTAGTATTAAACCTGCAGATTTCTTGGCCTGCCCTCAGATCCATGGAATCAGAAACTGTTGGGAGCTACTAAGATTCTGCACTTTAAATGTTTCTATTTCCCTCACCACCTCCTTCTGGTCACTTGGTGCACAAGAAGACATGAGAGCATCTCCCCTAAAGCATGTCCAGTCAATTAACACCATCATCGCCTGCACCTTTACAGACATTTTAGAAAGGCCTAATTCCCACCTTTAAAAAACATCCCTTAAGTATTTTTTTAAAAAAAGAGATAGGTGGATATATTGTGTGGAGATTTTATAGATCATAAAATGTTTATAATAAGTATATAACAAAAATTATACAAGGCTATATAATTGATGTGTTCCTAAATCTGCTTATGTGTAGCAGTTTTTATTTCAATTTTGAGTCTTATCCTTTTGTAAAAAAGTATATAAACAAATTGTAAAGTATCATTTGTGTATTAGTATGTATTTTATCATTTGACTTCATTTAAAGTCAGGTACAGTTGTTTCCCTTTTTCTTTAGGGAATATCAGCTAAAGCAAGAAAATACAACGTATGTTTCAAGGGCAAATGGGAAACTAAGAGTTTTATTAGAAAACTTTAATAAGTGAAGAAATGGTAATAAAGTTTAATGAAGAAACTAATAAAGTTTGTTTCAAAATCAGCAAAGAAAACTTAAAATAACAGCTAAAAGATGCCTTCTACCATTTGATTACAGATAAAACACTTTAGAAGGACAAATAATTAGGGTGTGTGCAAATGAGGTGGAAGGGCTGGTCCTTAAAGGGTTCTGACAAAGGGGTGACATGATTGGAGTAATGAGTCTGAAGGCAATTTCAGCAGTCAGCTCCGCTTGAAGGAAAGAAAGTCAAAAGATAGGAATGATGGTGGGAGACGGGTTAGTCAAAACAAAATCTGGCTAGACTAGTTACAGACATTCAGTTAAATTCATTTAGTTATTCTGATGACTTTCTGAGTTCTCTAACTTATGAACATTTTGTTATTTCCCTCAAAGGGAATCTTTTAGTTATAACATTCGTTAGCTACTTTGGAGCCAGACTTCACAGGCCAAAAATCATCGGCGCAGGCTGCCTGGTCATGGGCGTCGGGACGCTGCTCATCGCGTTGCCTCAGCTCTTCATGGAACAGTAAGTCTAATCCCAGCGTCCTGCTCTGGCTCACACCCGCCACTGCGTTTCTCCCTTTTTGTGGTTACAATAAATTATTTAAATTTAAAAAATAGCCCATGGTTTAAACCATGATAATTTACATCTTATTTTTATTATGTCCTCCTTGGGTGAAATTTCAGACCACTTGCAGTTTCACTTATGATTTAAGAATCTGTGAAAAAACTTGTACTACTATGTATTGACATCAACAAAATTAAAGGAAACTTTTCACTTATATGTCTTATTCAAATGCTTTCATTTAGCTGTGGAGGCAAAATATGTAAGCAAAAAGAAATTAATGTATTACATGATAAATATCAAACAGTGTCAGCTGGGTAATGAATGAATGCTGCAGATAACACGCTGGATCATGGTACACTGGATTGGCAGGACATTGATATGAGGGTATATTTTTAACTCAAATAAGTATTCAATTTATAAATATTATCTCATAGAAATTCCTCCATAACAGTCGGGTATTTATATCCTTTAACCCTGAAATCTACTTTTGGGACTTTTGTTAGTACATTTGTTAGTACTAACACAGCTTTAGTAGTTCCAAAGGGTTTCACCTTTATGATGTCATTTCACCCTACAATAATCTGTGGGGTAGGAGAACATATTTTATGCTTTTTTTACTTTAAAGCTAGGTACCATGATTTAAACAGTCTGGTGACTTTCTCAGGTCTGAGTGTCATGTGTTCTGACTTCCTTATGCACATCCACGGTGCCTCCCTGCTCTGGGGTTACCCATTGCTGACTGATAAAAGTGACTCCCAAGACATGTCTAAACAAGTGAATAATTTTTAAAGCTATTCATCAACTAATACTTTGATTACTGCCCACTCTAGATCACTGCATTGTGACATTTTAGAGCTGGAGACATTTAGAAATGATCTGGTCCAAGCTCTTCCTTGGATTATATATAAGTGACCTAGGAGTCTCTTACATAAACAGTCAGATTTTGCACTCTGTGACCAGCCTGTAAAAGCAGCGCATAGGGTCATCTGTGTGGGATCTTTCCTACCTGTTTGGATGGTTTCCCTTTCCCTCGCTTTTACTTGGAGAGGGACCTGAGGCTTCAGGACTTCTGCCTGCTCTTTGGACACATCTCTGGCCTCCTTTCCACAGGGCAGAAGTTTACTTGCATCACTGAAGTTCTACAAAGGTGTTATGTGAACCAGTGGGGAAGATAGGGACAAAAGAAAAGGCTGAGAAAATGAGTCTCCAATCCGCCTAGCCCCCACTTGATCTCTGATTTGAAAGCATTTATACCATGGGGCCCTCTGAATTGTAGGTTTTGCAAAACTGATATAAATTAACCCATTTTTTAACCTGAATATTTTCATAACTCTATACATCTTTCCCTTACCACATAGAATAGGTTTACTATTAATATTTCAATTACAGCACCATGATTACCAGTCTTTAGTCACATACTGCCTGAACAAAAGGAGGATCCAGATGACATTGTGATGCCCTTTTATCAGCTGTCTCTCCTCTGAAGGGTGCAATTGGAGCATAGAAATTGGCTCCTGAAGGATCATTTGAGAGGCATCATGGTGCTTGGGAACTCCAGAGTGAATTATCACAGCCCTATCACTCAGCATTGGCTCTTTAACCCAGCTGCCACTGTAACCTCATTAACAGAACAAAGGGTACAATTAGAAATAACTTAGAGCCAGATTAATAAACTGAGAAGAAGAAGTATACCATCTGGACAAATGGCTCAAAAGGCCCGTGTATCATCATCAGTTCTCTAGATTCAGCACTATGGTTGATCCACTAAACTTACTACTGTAATAAATGCAGTGCCAATGACCATGGTTGCTAAATCACTGCTCTTCCTCTGATGCAGAGATAATCATGATTTTACCAAGTGTTGGATATTTTTTCTCCAAGAGAGTATGTGACTTTTAGTCATTATTTTATATTAAAATGAGTTTCTATGAATAAGTCTTACTTTTATTTTCTTTCACTGCACTGGACAATTGGTTCAAATATAATATTATGCCTGTGAATCAGATTTTCTGGTTGTCTATAGCAAACTCTGCTATGAAACACTGGTTTGGTGTGGTGATACAGTTTCAGGGACAAATGAGAACCCAAACATGTAACCTAATGAGTCATGGATCAATATTACGCATGTAATATTTTTCAAGATGATGTTAAATGCATCCATAGTGTAAAGAAAATGTTCTTTTTACACAGGTACAGATATGAAAGGTATTCTTCTTTCTCCAATTCCACTAGTAGCATCTCGCCATGTTTCCTGGAGACTAACAGTCAATTACCAACCTCAGTTATGGAAAAAGCACAATCTAAAATAAATAATGGTAAGATGATTTTGTTTTACTTCAATGACTAAGCAAGCTTTTTTAAAATAGATATTATATGTGCTTTAGTATGGACAAAATATCTATATATAATTTTTTTAAGTTTTTTTAAATAATTTTTATATCTACTTTTATGAAGGATATTGGTCTATAGTTTTTTTTTTAAAGATTTTATTTATTTATTTTCAGAGAGGGAAGGGAGGAGAGAGAGAGAGAGAGAGAGAGAGAGAGAGAGAGAGAGAGAGAAACATCAATGTGCGGTTGCTGGGGGTTATGGCCTGCAACCCAGGAATGTACCCTGGCTGGGAATCGAACCTGGGACACTTTGGTTCCCAGTCCGCGCTCAATCCACTGAGCTATACCAGCCAGGGCTTATATATAATTTTTTGCTGTCAAAAGTTTTACTACTTAAATTGAGATGTTGTAGTGCCATAAAAATTTTTAGAATATGAAGCAGTATATGATGAGATCCTAAGAATATATATAGACAATCAAATAATATGGGACAAGTAGCATTAATTGCTGGTGACTGAGGAAAGCTTCCAGTGGTTCGAGAACACGGGCTGAGAAATCATGGTAAAACTAGCTTAGCATGAACAAATCTCAGTCCATTGCTCAAATACAAAAGAAATATATTTTTTTGGAGAACTCACTTTAATTTCTCTGTTTAGCCTCTTTTCATCAGAATGGGAAAACCTTAATCTCAATTTCTCCCCACCTTCACCCTTTTCCCAGGGGCTGCTTACATTCTAAAGAGCTTACACAATAGTAAAGGGGGGAGTTACGGGAGGGGGATTTTTGGCGTTATTGCTGCTCTGTCATCTTAGTTATCTAATCCTTCTAGCCACAGTGTTTGGTCATACCTGTCGTCTTGGGGTCATCTTATGTCCATGTTTTGTTCTTTTAGAACAGCAGCCCTCTCTGATGCAGAAGTGACTCTTTTGGAAACATGGATATAATTCTACTTTCCACATAACATAGAAGTCAGGGAGTTTTGTTAGAAAGATAGAGTTCCATGTGGCCGATGCACATTACACAACAATGTTATGTATGAGCCACCCTCAGGGATGTGGGAGTCATCTCTTCTGTGTTACTGCAGACACTGAAAACCCTGTGAGGAGCTGAAGACAGATGCCTAGCTACACTGTGCAACCATTTCATGTTTAGGGTCTTGCCACCTCCCTGGACTTGGCTTGCTCGTCCTGGCACAGGTTCTCCTATTTCATGGAGTCCAAAACCTTATCTACAGGTGTTTGCCACATCTCTGGGATAATGCATGGGCAGCAGCTCAAATCCCATCTCTCTATAAAGCTCTTCAGCATCAATACGCTCAACTCCTCCTCCCACCCTCCCAACTCACTCCCTATTGCTAGCCTGGGATCAATTTCTATAAAGTGTGGAAGTCCTTCTTTTATATACCTATGTGTTGGCCATCCAAATCTTTTATCTATATCATATAACCTTTTCACTCCTCTAACAAACATCCTCATTAATGCTTTCTTTTGAGATGCTTTTTCCTGCACAATGAACACTGGAGCTCTGGCTGTTTGTATGAAGGGAAGGGCCAGAGGATTAAAAAATATATAGAAAAAGGAGGGGAGAAAGAGGGAAGGACATACTGGACATAAAAAATATGATGGATAATAAATTTAATCCAGGCCCATATAACAAGGCAAGGAATTAAGCTAAAGAGTTTGGATTTTCATCTGTACACAATGTACAGTCACTGAAGATATTTTATTTTATTTTGGTTTTGTTTTAGACAATCAGGGAAGAGACATGATATAAATGACAGTGCAACTCATTAGGAAACATTTAAACTTCTAATGTTAAAAAGAGAAACATAGGGTTTAGGGATGGGGAATGCAGATGTTATTAATGTAAAGAGACACATTGTTAAGTATGTACAGAGTATAAGATTCACAGCTCAGTCTTTTTCTTTCCTTTTTTCCTTTAAAGTCATAGACATATGTGGACATTAGACAAAATGAACAGAAGGCTCATCCTAAAGATGATAGTAGGGTAAACACAGGACTCTTCTCAAAAATGCCACATACACCCCCATTTTTCCCATAGCACTCTAGAGCAGAGGTGCCCAACAGAACCATCTGTGATGGCGAAAATGATCCATATACATGCTGTCCAGTACAGTGGCCATTGGCCTCATGTGACTGTTAGGTGCTTGAAGTAGAACTCATTGACAGGAAATTAATTTTTAGCTTTATATAATTTTAATTACTTTAAATTTCAGTAGCCACATGTGACCATGGCTACTAATGTTGGAAAGCACAGATCTAACATGTCTACACTTACCTATGAGAATTACCTACCAACAAGCTTCTTAGAATAACACAAATAAATGTTAGGGCTAGAACTAACATCAGAGCCTATTTTTGGAAAAGAAGTTCACATTATATTATGGGGAGTGGAATAGAAATCTGGGGAAGATGAGAAGTGGTGGAATCAAGACAAGAAGAACAGGACTACACAGTGGTCTTTTTTGTTACGCAGACTGATTCATCTATATGAAGGCATTCACCCCAGTTCTTCATAATCCATACTTCACCTTCAAAAATTACTTTCAGGGTTACTAACAGGTGAAAGTAGCTCCTACATCATAGGATTACTAGGAGAATTCTATTTAAAATTGCCTACAAATGACTTTGCCCAGGGGCTGACAGAAGGGAGTATTCAGAAGTGATTATTGGAGGTTGTCAGTATTATCCTCTTTATTAAAGTGACTAAACTCTTCAAAGTATATTTCACTTATGATATGGGAGTAATTATCCAACTTCACATATTCATATTAAGACATGGCTTTTATGAAAGCATTTTAAAGTTGTTAGCATTGATTTCACTCTAAAAATACTGTGAAAGCTTCTTTTTGTTAAATAGTTATACCACTAAAGCTTACAGGGTTTTTAATTTTTATACAAATTGTTTTCTAAACATGAATCCTGTCAAAAACAGTTATTCACTATCAACGATTGTAATTATAGGCAATGCTACCCAAAGCTGAAGTGTCAGCCATAAAATTTTTTGAATTTCAGATAAAAAATTAGATAAATTTAGTCAGCAATAAAATTACAAGTGATTTCTGCTGAAAATAGAAAAATTTAAAGATTAAGACAATAGAAGTCTTTGTTCAGATTTTTGTGTTTTATCCTAAACAGGAAGATATTGAATGTTATTAGAGTGTAGGAGTTCCAAGAACTTTGTTTAAGTACGAAATAAGAAGAGAGAAAATAAAAAGTAAGGAAACAGGAACAGCACCACCTAAACTCTTGAGTTAAGTTACAAAACATTTCCCGATCTTGCTCAAGCATATCAAATTGTATCTGTGGCTTATTTTAGTTCTGCATTCTAATCCAATTTTAGGACAACTTGTAGAAATACAGACTAAATATTAACTTTGGTGGTAATCTAATTTCAATCATCTTGTTTTCTTTACTTTCAAGAATGTGAAATCGACACCAGCTCCTCCATGTGGGTTTATGTTTTCCTGGGGAACCTTCTTCGTGGAATTGGAGAAACACCCATTCAGCCCCTAGGCATCACCTACCTTGATGATTTTGCCAGTGAAGACAATGCAGCTTTCTATATTGGTAATGCCCCCCTTATTTGTCTTCTTGGGAAGCAGGGTAAATGGTTTTCTCAACTCCATTCTAAACTAAATCAAGTGCAGAAGGCTTTTTACTTCATATCCAACTCCTTTATTCAGTTTACACATTTCTGAAGTCTATACTGGGATTTCAACAATATAAGAAACTTAAATAAGGGACCCTTTGTATTAGGGAAAGAACATCAGATTAAAAGAAAGTAACTGAATTGAACAGCAATGGCAAAAGACTTTGTGTAAGTATCTTCATGGGCTTCATGGACTGCTGACGCATTTGGATGTTACAGAGAGAGAGAGAGTGGGACGGAGAGAGAGAGGAAAGTTAGTCCTGGTGTTATTTTCTTACTGAAAGGTAATTAATGGCTTAAAAGGGTTCATTTTTCTTCCAAAACTGGGAAGGACTTATTTCCTAATTCAATGAAGTTGAAAAATTGACAAATTAAATGCACTTAAGTAGTTGATGAAATATTTTCAGGTACTATTCAGATCTCCTTACATTTTTGTTGAAAACGGTATTAATTTACAAAAGCAAAGAAATGACACCTTATTTTTCTTAATTTTATTTTTATTTCATTTATTTATTTTTTCATGTGCAGGGTGTGTGCAAACGGTTGCAATTATAGGACCAATCTTTGGCTTCCTGTTAGGCTCATTATGTGCCAAACTGTATGTTGACATTGGCTTTGTAAACCTAGGTAAGGGAACTTATTGTTATTTATTCATTTATTTTATTATAAAATTTTAATGGGATGGTGTAAAAAATAGCAAATTGACTTTTTATAAAATAACAGGATGGTAATCTGTCATAAAATGAAAATAATCCATGGAAAACTTACTATTGATAGAATCAGCATGCACATTAATAAGTGGATTATGAAAAATAGGTGGTGATTAGCACTGGATGAGCCATGGTTTTTTATTCCAACATATTATTTTTATTTCTGCTTAGCCAGTTCAAATGCATGCCAGCACAGTTAAAAACTGAAAACTGGCCACTTATTGACTCTTGTTGGTTTCAGATGTATCAACATATTACAATCACATCAATTGGTAATGTATTGGTGACTAGCCAGAAAAGCCAAGGATTATTGTGGTAAAATAGAATGCACAACTCTTGCATTAGTTGTTCTTCTTTAATCAAATAAACTGCAGGTATATTAAAAAAACTTGATTCATTTATTAATTCATTAACCTCCAAAATTTATTTTATATCTACTTTATCCCAGGTGCTATTTCACAAAGTGAACAAAATAGCTGAGTTTATTGACTCCTTGAATTTTAAAATCCAGTCCTAGAGACACTGATATGGATAAGAGAGTATAGGTGTGATGGGTGCTACAGAGAAAAGTGGTGAAGGGGAAGCAGTGGAGATGCAGTGATAAACTAGTATAAACATTTTACCGAGTTGAATGTAGTGGCAACTGAGCCTAGTTGTCAAGGGACATGCTTATTTTGTTGGTCTCACAGAGCGTGATAGAGGTGGAGTGTAGTCATATGTTTTATAGGTTCTTATATATTTTAAAAAATATTTGGTTTGGTTCAAAAAACTTTGTCAATGCTTACCTTTTTTCCAATGAGAAATGGTGTCAAAAATAAAGCTTTTATGATAAGATATTGATGTTTTATTTACATGTACAAACCTTGTTTCAGATCTGTAATAGTTCTGAAGTACTATTAAACACCATTTAGTAAATACATTTGTAGTGCTCCAGACTAGACTTGGGCTGCGGGGTGCAGGACATAGCTCCCTGTTTGAGTAAAATCTGAGATGGGTCTTCAATATGTAAATCAGAGGAAATGGCACTGATGTGGTGCAGCTGGTGGCAGGTTTGGACCATTCCTAACCCCTCACAGGGTGCTTCCCCCCCACCCCACCATGGGTCCAGGGTCCCTCTGCCAAACCCCAGGGCAGGGTTTAGAAACCATGGGTTCCCTTCAGTAGTTAGACTCTGCATTTAATCTAAGGAACAGCAGAAGAAATCATCATGTTCCACCCTTTTTCCTTTGAATAGCAAGATAATAATATTCAGATAAAAAAAGTTATGTATGAATTATTAGATGTTTTGATAATGTGCTTGAGCTAACGCTGGGATTTTTTTTTAAAGAGGCTTATTTAAACACATTGGCTTTGCTGTACATGCTACTTAGCCGTCCTCTCTCTTTGTCAGATCACATAACCATCACCCCAAAGGACCCTCAGTGGGTAGGTGCCTGGTGGCTTGGTTACCTAATCGCAGGAGTCCTAAGTCTTGTTGCAGCTCTGCCTTTCTGGTGTTTACCAAAGAGTCTTCTGAGACCCCAAAGTAGAGAGGATTCCAGTTCTTCTGAGAAGTCCAAGTTTATTATAGATGATCACACGGAGTACCAAACACCCCGTAGAGAAAAAGCAAAAATGATGGAAATGGCAAGAGGTGAGCCAGATTCTCTTTGATTCTGAAATACTTTCAGATTTCCTGTTTGGACTTTATAGGGTATCTCTTCCCTTCGTTGTGTTCCCCAAAATCATTGAGAAACTATACAAGAAGCATGAATGAAGATTTAAAAGCCAGGTTTATTACTAGAAAATGATTGAAGAACATGACCCAGAGTCTTGGTACCCTTTCTTGCTGACATCTCCACCCTCACACCTCAGTGTAGACCTTGCAACCGCCCCCACGGGATTGCTGTTTCACATCAGTCTGGGTGCATAGAAAGGAAAAGACTCTTCAGGGCATGTGGCCCTTTAGAACAGATGAGATTCATCCATTTGAGAAATGTGTGCCAGTACCTGTCTCCCACCCATGATGGGAAGACTAAGTGTGTTCTGGTGAGTTCCCTTCATGTGATAATGGGTCTCCATGAAAAGGATTGGTTTCCCTCAGCTGGTCTTGGGAAGGGCCTCAGTGAGTAATATTTACATTTGTAGAAAAATAAACTGGCTGCATAGTAAGAAGAAGGAAGAATGCCAAAGCTTGTTTCTTTACACAAAACTCCATACATTAAATGGAGACAATGTTCATATGCCTTTCCTTGTGACCATTACCCAAGTTTGAAGAACACACAAGAAAACTGATGTTGATGCCCTGTCTGTGACTCCCAGCTCTTTAGGAGTCTTCTTGCCTCTCATGCACATCAGTTAGAGGGGTCTGTTTTTGTCTTACTTGCAAGCATACCTCTAACTATAATACAGCTTTTATGCCTGTGGAAGCAAGTGCTCTATGTCTAGATCTGAACTGGCCAGATCTCACCCATGACTTGTGTCAATGGCTTGATATCCATAGTGTGCATGCGCACCACACTATAACTGCAGCTGGTGACTACGACAATGGGACTCAGCCATCCATGCCCTCGCCCTGCTACCAAGGCGCTGTCTTCTGCCAGGTGTGACTCTGTCTTTAATCATTCCCTGTTATTTTTGTCTCACAGATTTTCTTCCATCATTGAAGAATCTTTTTGGAAATCCAGTATACTTCTTGTATTTGTGTGCGAGCACCCTTCAGTTCAATTCTCTATTTGGCATGGTGACATACAAACCGAAGTACATCGAGCAGCAGTATGGGCAGTCACCCTCCAAGGCCAACTTTGTTATCGGTACGCTCATCTGCACTTCATGCTTTCCAGCGGGCGCTGCTGGCTGCCTCTCGTTAACTCTTGGTACTTTTAGAGAAAATTGTTCCAGTATTTAAACTGAAGGAAATTTATGACTTTTTAGATATGAAGTAAAAAAGTGATAAAAATAATCTAGCAGAGTGAAATATCTAGGTAGTCTGTGGTCCACAACTTTCTAGCAAAATTTCTTCACAACAATGGGTGAGTGACCTTGAGACTGTCACACAGATCAAGCATACATTTTATTAGAAGATTGCTAATACAGGATATTTGTCTTTCAAGTGTAGGCAAACTCTTATAACTATGGACATTTACCAAACACTTCCTAGAATGACAAAAAGGGAATATTTATGCAGGTCAAAGTATATCATTACAAAACAAACTTTGTGTTTGCTCAGTCAAAAGACTTCTGATTCCTGGCATTTGTTTGGGTTATTTCAGGAGGTTGTGCTTCTAGCACGGTGATACAGTCAGCAATGAGAAAGATGTCCCAGGACAAAAAAGAGAATGAAAAACCAGAATCTACAGATACATGAACACCACCTTGCAAGGAACTGGATATTTTGAAAACCTGGATTAGCTACTTTTATCTTTTCTGTTTCAAGAAATAAAATATATTCTATTTTTTTAACACTCCCCTTTGTGAAGGGAGACTCCAATGTTTAAAATCACTTATTCTTCTTAAAATATTTAAAGAATCACTCTATGTATTTATCTCTGATATTTTAGGATATATTTATTTTTTCTATAACAATTCGGTATAATGAGCACTGAGCAGGGGCTAATCCAATGGACTCTGTTCAAGCAGTTCTTCCTCTAAATTTTAAATATCCAGACTATAACATGGAATTTTTACTTTCAACATGAATAGGTTCAAATTAATTTAATTTTATTATTTACTGGTTGATGTGGAGAAATATTTTTGGTGTTTTTTTCTCCAACACTCCATCCAGGCCAATCAATTCTAAGAATAGGAGAGAAATAAATGTTTGAGACATTCTTTTTTATTTTCAGATTCCCTTTGTATATACTGTGGTATAACTTGTAGGCAACAGTTACATTTATAGACCTTAAATGTATAGCTCAGCTAAACAAATATGTGTGTGTGAGAATCTGTAGTAACCATTGTCCAGAGCACGTAGCCCATTTAATACCCAAAGGGGTACTCAATGACACTTCCTGCTCAAGACTCTTTCCCAAAGCTAATACCTACTCTGAACTCTATCCTCACAGATCAGTCTTGCCTGGTTTTGCCTTTATATAGATGGAACAATATGTTAGATACTCCTTTATATCTAGATTATTTTAATTAAAGTGAATCTTATGAGATTCATTCATGTTGTACATAGCAGTGGTTACACTTTTCATTGCTTTGTAATACTCTATCACATGAATATACCACCGTTTATTTACTCACTTTATTGTTGATGGACATGTGGGTTGTTTGCTGCTTTTGGCTATTCTAAATAACACTGCATAATCATTCTACATGTATTTTGGTGAGTGTATACGCTCACTTTCTTGGCTGTATCTTGGAGCAGAATTGCTGGGTCACAGGGAATGTGTGTATTTAGGTCCAGTAAACATTGCCAAACATTTTTTACATAAGAGTTATGCAAATTTATACTCCCACTAGAAATGTTCAGAATGTTTTGGTTGCTCCACATCCTTATAACAGTACTATCAGTCTTCTTCATTGTCACCATCCTTATGGGGTATGGTGGTATCTCACTGTGGTTTAATCTGTATGTAAATGATTAATGATGAGTACTTTTTGCAGGCTTGTTGATTATTTCAACATTCTTTTTTGTTAATTATGTTCAAGGCACTTGCCCATTTTTATAAAATTATCAATCTTTTTCTTATCAATTTGTAGGAGTACTGTTCTTTTCTCTTGATATAAGGTTTTTTTATTAAATACATGTGTTATATATTCTCATAGACTGTAATTCACCTTTTCACTTTCTTAATCGTGAGCTTCTTAATTTTAATTAAGTCCAATTTTCAATCTTTTTCTCTGTCATTAATGCTATTTTAAGAAATCCTTTTCAAACCTGAAAGACATAAAGATGTTTTCCTAATATGTATACTAGTAGCTTGTTTTAACTTTCACATTTAGGTTATAATCTATTTCAATTTTTTTTTAGAATATGAAGGAGAATGTCCAGGATCATTTATCAAAATGAAAGACCATCTTTTCTCCATGAACTGTAGTAAAGTGATATATCTTTAAGCATATGTTTATTTTTCATTAAAAAACATGTACATAACATTTAGAAAATTTGGGAGTATATGATTTTTCTCTCACTAAAATGGTGAATTTTTTATTTCAAATTGAAAGTTCATTTTATAAAAGGAAATTAAAAGAACTCTCAAGTGGAGGGAATTTCAGGGGAATTTCAAGGGAAAAGGGAAGGGTTCACAGGAACAAGAATAAAGGACACATGGACAAAAACTAGGGGCGGATGGAAATGGGAGGGAGGTGGGGAGGGCTGGGTGGGTGGGCTGGGATGGGAGTAAAAGGCAGAAAACTGTACTTGAACAATAACTAAAATAAAATTATTTAAAAAAGAACTTTCAAGGGCATGTATTAATAATAGAAAATAAGATTATATGTAATCTAATTCCTCTGTTGAAGAGGTAATAAGTGAAATACCTTTGCCTATGAAATTATTTTTAAGGAGAATTAACACAGATTAAAATAATTGAAATTCTGAGAGGTTCAGTGGCCTGCCCAATATCATGCATATGTATTCTATGTATATTTTGATATAGCCAGGAATAAAATTATTTCCCCTGAATTTCTGAGTTATATTTCCCCTCTGGGCATAATTATTTTTAAATATGGACAAGAAGATTCTAATAATTCTCTTTTTTAAATTGTGGATGCTGATTATTTATCTTTTATTGTTTTATTTTATTTTATTATTTTATTTTATTTTATTTTACTTTACTTTACTTTAATTGTTGTTCAGGTACAGTTTTCTGCCTTTTACTCCCACTCCCAGCCCTCTCCACCTCCATCCCATTTCCACCCTCCCCCCTTGTTTTTGCCCATGTGTCCTTTATACTTGTTCCTGCAAACCCTTCCCCTTTTCCTCTGAAATTTCCTTCCCCCTCCCCCCGCCGTCACTGTCAGCCTGTTCTCTATTTCAGTGTCTTTAGTTATATTTAACTTGTTTGTTTCTTTTGTTGATTAAGTTCCTGTTAAAGGTGAGATCATATGGTATTTGTCTTTCACTGCCTAGCTTATTTCACTTAGCATAATGCTTTCCAGTTCCATCCATGCTGTTGCAAAGGGTAGGAGCTCCCTCTTTCTTTCTGCTGCATGGAATTCCATTGTGTAAATGTACCATAGTTTTTTGATCCATTCATTTATTCATGGGCACCTAGGTTGCTTCCAACACTTGGCTATTGTAAATTGTGCTGCTATGAACATTGGGGTGCATAGGTTCTTTTGGATTAGTGTTTCAGGGTTCTTAGGATATAATTCTAGCAGTGGAATTGCTGGGTCAAAAGGCAGATCCATTTTTAGTTTTCTGAGAAAATTCCATACTGTTTTCCATAGTGGTTATACCAGTCTGCAGTCCCACCAACAGTGCACTAGGGTCCCCTTTTCTCCACAACCTTTCCAACACTTGTTGTTTGTTGCTTTGCTTATGATGGCCATTCTGACTGGTGTGAAGTGGTATCTCGTTGTAGTTTTAATTTGCATCTCTCTGATAGCTAGTGATACTAAGCATCTTTACATGTGTCTCTGGATCCTCTGTATGTCCTCCTTGGAGAAGTGTCTGTTCAAGTCCTTTGCCCATTTTTTAATTGGGCTGCTTGTTTTCTTATTGTGGAGTCCTGTGAGTTCTTTATATATTTTGGAGATTAAACCCTCGTCTGAGCTATCATTGGCAAATATATTTTCCCATACAGTTGGTTCTCTTTTTATTTCAATACTGTTTTCTTTAGCCATACAGAAGGTTTTTATTTTGATGAGATCCCATTTGTTTATTTTTTTCTTTATGTCCCTTGCTCTAGGGGACATATCAGTGGAAATATTGCTGCATGAAATATCTGATATTTTCCTGCCTGTGTTCTCCTCTAGGACTTTAATGGTGTCACAGCTTATATTTAAATCTTTTATCCACCTTGGATTTATTTTTGTGTATGTTGTATGTTGGTGCTTGAGTTTCTTTCTTTCTTTCTTTCTTTCTTTTTTTTTGCATGTAGCTGTCCAGTTTTCCCAACACCATTTGTTGAAGAGGCTGTTTTTACTCCATTTTATGTTGCTGCCCTCTTTGTCAAATATTAATTGACCATAGAGACTTAGGTTTATTTCTGGGCTCTCTGTTCTGTTCCATTGGTCTATGTGCCTGTTTTTATGCCAGCACCAGGCTGTTTTGATTATAGTGGCCTTGTATGCACACTCAGATGGACTCTGAGATCCAAACAAATTCATCATCAGAATTTTTTTATCTATCTACCTATCACAAGTCACCTAAATTCTTCATAATTTCTGTCATGTCACATCTAGAGATAATGCAAGTACTTTTGTGAGAGATAAGTAATAGTGTCTAATAATTTCACATCATTGTAGGCAGGATCATTTTTTGAGTGTATCTTGGTTTCACATTAGTAAGTGTGCAATGCTACAGAGTAAGAATAAGTGGGTAACTTAATCAATATCCCTAATGTTTATTTTTATTAATTGTAGAATGGTGAAAATAAATACATCATTAGCTTGAAAAAATATAAAATGCATCATAAATGTACATAGCTGTCATTTGATAGATATTGTTTTAGTTTTTACTTCTTTTCTTTTGTCTTACTTCTTTCTCTTTTCTCCTTCGTTTTTTTCTTTGGCTTATGGACAATGATCCTTTCTGTGATGAAATATGGGAGAGGCAGGAAGAAAGCACGTTTTCCCTCTACTCTCAGAGAAAGCATTGGACATGACATGGAGGAAAAAATAAATCTCCTGATGAGTTCCAAGACCAACTGTTGCAATGGCAATTTATTTTTGCTATAAATATTCTTGTATGCTGTCCCTATTCTTTTTAAAGTTTAGAAACAGCATTTCCTCATGTTAAATACTTTAATTCTGCAAAGCAAACTTAAAGAAAAATAAACAACAAAAATGTTTCAAATTCAGGGACTAAGGAGTACGTCATACAATGACTTTCCTTTTTTAAGTTTGTGGATTTTTTAAAAAGTTCCATTTCAATTACTGCTGAAAGAAGTTTGGATGGACAGTTGGATTTTCCATTTAAGCTGCTTCTATCACTATTAAGTTACATGGAAATTATCTTATCTTTTCTTCTCCTTCATAATATACAGTTAGTAATTATTTTTGCTTAATTTCTTGGACTTTTTTCATTAAATAAGACAGTTTCCAGTAGATATAACACATCAACATCAACCATCAGTGATAACAGTAATTATCTTAAAGGCATCACACAGAAAAGGAAAAATTAAGATAATTACTTGGGGAAAGGTGTTCACAATAGAAAGCTTTAATTTTTTTGTAGCTAAGCTGTTATAGCAGATTTAATAATTGAATTATGATGTTCTAGAAAGGGAGAATCAAGTTGATGGTATAAAAAGGTGTTAGAAGAGTTAACAATCCATACTGAAAGAGCAACACCCTTAGAATAATCCATTTCAATTCTCAGGGTCTTCTAGGTCAGAGAGCAGGAGGCAAAGGTCAAAGGAACCACAGAGCTAGAAAACAGTGGGTATTCTTAGTGCTATGACCCCAAATGTCCCAGGTTTGATCTTTTACTTTGCAAAATAAAATGAAATCCTAAGCACATTTTCTGAAGGTTTTTTATTCAGTACCTGGTTTTTAGAAGGTATTTTTCCACAAATCTCTTTTGGGAAATAGAATTGAGGGAAAGGATAAAAGTCTGCATTCTTTTTATGTCAACCTTGAGTCTGTGAGAAATGATTCAAAGTGAAGTACTATGTGTGTGTAAAAACAGGGACCTAAATGATACACGTCCAGTCATGACAGCACTTAATTCTTAGGAAGGAAGACAAAACCTAAAACAAAGGGAGAATCAGCTTGACATATTCTCTGTTTAAACAATCAGAAAAAAAGAGAGAAAATGTTAGTATTTTTTAACTTGGGTCATGAGTAACCAGGTTTGTTGTATCATTTTCTATCTTCTCTCTGTTTTTAAAAATATAATGATCAGATCCCTCTTAGCTCATGTTTAGGTCTTCAGGGACCCAGTATACACTCATCTCTGCTGCTTACTTAACCCACAAACCTCAGTTCAGCTGAGAAGCAAAAATTAGCCCCTCCTCTTTTTTCAATTTCACTAATTTCATAATCATGCCTCTTGTTCACCCCAGCAAATGCCAGGCTCTTATATGAACCTTGTTTGTTGGCCAGAATTCTTACAAGTTTCTGCCATTATCTCAAAAGCTCAAGATAATGTGGACATCAGTGATTGATGTATAGACGATATAAAAATAAGTTCTAATTAACAGAGAAATGGTTTATTGTTGAGTACAAAAGTGCTCTCCTCTAGAATTATTTCCCAGTTTAAAATCCAACCAACCCAGCACCAAAGAGCCCCTGTCTCTGTCTTTTCTAACACAGAGGTGTTCTACACCTCCCATAGCAATATTTTCATCTTTGTAAGTCTGGTAGACCAAAATGCTAATAATCTAACTAAATAATATCTTTGTGCCAGATACTGGGCTAAGAATTTTCATGACCTTTAATCACCATTATTAGCTCCATATTAAAGGTGAGCAGACAGGTTTAGACAAGTTCAAAGAATAACCTGCAGTTACCCAGCTATTAGGCTATAGAACTGAGGTCAAAATCCAGGCTGCTAGATCTCTGGAGCCTGTTCTCAACCACTTTGTTAGACCCCTTGCTTGTGTCATTTTTAAGTCACATTTATTTGATTACTAAGGAGGCTGCACATCCATTGATCAGGAATGCTGTCTCTCTAACTCCTTGAAGGACAGTATAACATAGCAATTGAAAGAATAGGATTTACCATCAGACTTCCTGCATTTAAATCTGACATTACCACTTCTTAACCATGACCACTAACAAATTGCTCTCTGAAGTGAGAATAATAATAACCCACCTCCTAAGGTTGTGATGAAGAGTAATATAACAGGTAATATACCAAGTGAGTAGCTGAGTGTCTAGTATATCACAACAAATAAAAATACAAAAGTAGTCAAATGACATCACACTTTGTTGTTGTTAGGAAAGATAATGAATTAAGAGGCTAAGAGTTGGGTCCTCAGTGAAAACAACTTTTGGGGGTACCAGGAAATAAAACAAAGATTTTTTAAAATCCCTGCATATCATGTGCCTATTATTTTATATGCACAACCTTAAAGAATATTAAGTCAACTATTGTCACTTAATTGTACCTATTAGTACTGAGATTGAACCAGAAATACAATGATTGATTGATTGATTCAGTGTTAATTAATAACAAACCCTAGGCTAGACACTGTGTAGTCAGAACTGAGATTCAGTTGTGCTGTCACTGAACTATAATCTAGACAAGCATCAGAATCCCTTGATGTGTCAGTAGATAATAGTGAATGAGTATTTCTATAACATAAAATGACAAGTAGTCATAGTATATCTATGTCTACCTGTTATAGTCCACATGTTATAGTCTAAAACTATAACATATGAGACAAGTAGTCTAATAGTATGTCATAGTTTTGTATAATCCCTTTGAAAGTTTGTGTGAGTGCACTCAGGTTTCTTTCAGAGATTCACAAAATTACATATTTTTCTTGTTCCTCAGGGCTCATCAACATCCCTGCAGTAGCCCTTGGAATATTCTCGGGGGGGATAGTCATGAAAAAATTCAGAATCAGTATATTTGGAGCTGCAAAAATCTACTTGGGATCGTCTGTTCTTGGGTACCTCCTGCTCCTTTCCCTGTTTGCACTGGGCTGTGAAAATTCCGACGTGGCAGGACTAACTGTCTCTTACCAAGGGTATGTTCTCTCATTAAAAAATCTGAAGAGATTGGCTTGCTTAGTCAAATTAATTTTTCATAGAACTTCAAAATAAGATAAGTTGATTTTTAAGCATTATCACTATGAGAAGGGAATGACTTTTCTATTATGGAATAGCTAGTGGTGTTTATAACATGGAAGCTGTTATATTTGCCAAAATCTGTCATCTCCTTTGAATTTTACTGTATTAGAGAAATATTTTTTTAAAATGCCAAACATACATCTTATTTTAGGGCAACACCCTGATCATGGAAAATTTAAACCTTGAATCTTGCCCCTTCCCATTCTTAGTGAAGAGGAATTGTGTGGCGTATTTAATATAATATAGCTTTGATTTTCCCATTTAAAAATAGAAATCATAACTACCCTTTCAGGTTTTGTAAGGTGTAAGCAAGATAGCGCATGTGAAAGTGATCACTGCTGTCTGACACAGAACACATGAGGCATTCACAGAAACAACTATATATTTTTCTTGGGACACCTAAGTACCTGGGAAGTTCTCTCTGCCACCATTTATAGCCTCCATTGTACTCAAATCAGGTGGCATTTTAGAGGAGAATTCTATTCCTCAACCCAGTAGCCCATATGACACCTCTCTTTCATTTTTTGCACTTGGCCAAGAGCATATTTATCGATACTCTCAGACCTGTGCCATCTTTTATAGGTGGGTGGTTAGGTTTCTAGGTTTCCAGGGTCTATCACCTTTCTTTTTTTTTTTTAATTAAAGCATAGTTGGCATACAATATTATATATTTTCAGGTATAAAACACAGAAATTTGACATTTATATACCTTATGACTTGATCACCATGATAAATCTAATAACCACCTGTCACTCTATAAAGTTATTATATTATTGACTATACTTTCTGTGCTTATCACCTCTCTGTGACTTATTTATTTTAAAACTGGAAATTTGTATCTTTTATTCCCCTTCACCTTTTCCCACTCATTTCCTCACCTCCCTCTCTTCTGGCAACCATCAATTTGTTCCCCTGAATCTATGACTCTATTTCTGTTTTGTTTAGTTTGTTCATTTGTTATCTCTATTTTAGATTCCATTATCAAGTAAAATAATGAAGTATTCGTCCTTCTCTGCCTGACTTATTTTACTTAGCATAACACCGTCTAGGTCCATCCATGTTGCCACACACATCAAGATTTCATTCTTTTTTACTGTTGAGTATACACACACACACACACACACACACACACATATATCACATTTCATTATCCATTCTTCTATCAGTGGATACCTATGTGCTTCCAAATCTTTGCTATTGTAGATAATATTATCATATACATAGGGGTGTTTATATCTTTGCCAATATGCATTTTCATTTTCTTTAGATAAATACCCAGAAGTAAAATCTATCACTTTTAACATCAGGCTGGACCTTGAAGAAATTGTTTTGCTCTTTCCTTTCAAGGGTCCTTGTGATCCCTCCATTTGTGACAATGAGTAACCAGAGACCCCTCTCTTTATTCGTCCACCTAACATTACATTATTGGTTTTAAAAAATTGTGGAGCCACTTCTGTACTTCAGCCTGACCTCCCTAACTGCATCTGCCTGCCTGCAAGTACCTATGGCTCAAAGGTCAACACTCCTGACATTACATTCCGTTTCCTGCCCGTTCAGCTGCTTCTTACTGCTTGCTTTCCAGCTCCCTTCCTATGCTTTCTTCCAAGCTTATTTGTCTTGTCTCCATATTCCAATCTCTATCTCTTTCATTAAGTTGGTTTCTCCTGTTGTTAAGGGAACATCGATTGTACTCTTGTTATTTAAAATGTCCAGGAAAATTAATGAATGCAAAGTTCAAATACCATGCTTCTGGAAGTTGTCACCATCATGTCAGACTTACCTGAGCATAACATTGGTAACAGTCAGCAATGTAAATTGAGAACTTGTGCTATCAAGTTGAAGCCTTATAAATTGAAGTCTTGTGCTGTCTTTAACTGTCTTTATAATCCTCACGGTGGATGGACAGTGGTAAAGTACTTTGTATTTTGCAATTTACAAAACATCTTCACTTTCATTATCTCCCTTGTAGCTTCAGAGCACCTTTATGAGATAATTTTTATTATCCTTGTTTAATGGAAATTGAGTTAAGAAAGATCAGTTAGTTCCCTCAAAGTATAACACTCTTTCAACACCATCATGCTATCTCTAAGACAAAAGCAAACACATAAATGGACAACAGCAAACTTTTGAAGTTCATTTTAGAAGTATACTCACATAATAAAACATAAATATTTCTAAATCAATGAAAGGTAATATGTTTATTGCATGAATACTAGGCCTTGAAATTACCTAAAAGACTATAATTGCATTGTAATAATGCTATCACTTAAAATATTATAAGACTCCTCTTTTGCTTTCTAAAATATCCTCAACAATGGCAAAGAGTTAACCTTTAAGAGTAGCTTTGCAATTGGAAGCAGCCAAAAAAATAAAATAAAAATGGCAACATCACTGGGAAAGTCTCCCCTCTTCCAGTTTGACTATTTTTAAAGAAAAACTTCCTTTGGGTATAAACATTCTGGCATATTTGAGGAAGCTCATCTTATAATTAAAATTTTAAACAACTTCACTGTCAACACACTCCTCATTAAACATGTATGCAACTAGTTTCTGCTTTAAGGTTGCCCTAGGCAATAAATTCAACTTACCTTCATTAATATAAAATAATTGGCTTTATAAAATACTTGCTCCCCAGGGATTATCCTGAGTTGTTTTGTGCCCCGAGGCTGTTTTGATTCTGGACATTCAAATAGCATTATGGACAACACCATACAGAATGTACAGAAGCTTTACATAAGGCAGTGGAAGAAACCTTTGTTCTGTGATAATGAGAATAAGTCTGATGTGGTTATAATTTGTCACTAATAAACATGAATTTGAGCAAATTACCTGCCCACTGTCGACCTGCCTTTCTTGATCTGCCAAATGAGAAGTTGTTCTAGGTGACACCAATTTCCTTTCAGCTCCAACCTTCTGTGATCACAGCCCTATAGTATTCATAGTGGCCTGATTCCAGGCTTTCAAAGGCATGTATTTGTATTTTTAGATACTACCAAACAGTTAACCATTAATGCCTGATGGAGGAGAACAGAATGAAATAGTCTTATATGACTTCTCAGGAGACCTAGTTAAATATCCTTTCATTTTGTTTGCAGACATCTCAGAGGTCTTTTCTTTTTACATTTGAGGTCCAAATGCATAGGAGTTCTACTAGGTAGAATATTACATCAGTAAAGAAATCATTATTACAATTATTATAGGAAATAATCTGATGCCTCTCAGAGGGAGGCATCAAAATGACTGATGAACTCTTTCTCCAAAAGAGTTCCATTTTTCCTTTATTGATTGACCTACCAGAAATCTTGCTTCTGAGCCTACTATGTACCAGGCATTGTTTTTGGTGCTGGTGATACAGAAGTGAATAAAACAGAGTTTCTGCCTTCACTCGAAGTGCATGAAAGTATATATTTTTCTTTTTAAGTTCCTCATCTTTTTCATAAGAAATAAAGAAAGGGGGAGAATACGCAAATAAATAAATTCAAACTGAAAGAGGAAAAAATGAATTATTAAAGGCCAATAAATGGCCATTAAGGAGCAGGTGAAGAGACATACCATTGTATAAGTACATCCTGAGAAGAAGAAAAGGATATGAACAGTGCAAGGAGAATACATGTAGAAATATTAGGTAATTCAGGTGAGAAGAGGAAATAGAAGTGAGGGAGAAGGAATACTTGGAGAGGAGAGTGAGGAAAATATAAGAGAATGAGAGAGAACAAGAGAGAAGACCATCAAAAGTAGGTAATTTTAACTATTTTTAAAAAGCCAGCTTTTTGAGGGCAGATACTATCTCATTCGTACTTGTAACTATCTTCTCCCAAAGCAACTACTTAGAAGGCTTTTGGTATTTTTTATGAATAAATTAATGCTAAGTAATTTTAAAAAGCATCTGAAATAAAGTCAAAAGATATGAAAGAGCTCCACACAGTGGATAGAGCTCCGCCCAGGATACCTGGGCGAGAGAAAAGTTGGAAAAACTGGTAATGCATTTATTAATCAGACTTATACTGATAGGTTACATAGCTCCTACAAATGTAGAAAAATTGTTGATATTTTGACTTTTTGGCTGTTTTTTTTCTTCGCCATACCATTAGCAATGCCAATTTTACTGATGTTTACACAACTCTGAAGGAAATTTAGACACAATCCACCTACAATGCACTCAAGTATGAGGGGGGACCCCAAAAGACCCAGAATTATCTTCTGGAGGGCCAGCCCCTTGTAGTAAAGCTTTCCCCCACTAGATGAGTGTCCTAGGAGCCCATCTGTATTAGTGCACCAGCTGCCATTATTGCGAGAGGCATCATTCAGCTTCAGTGGATTTTTTCAATGTGTCTACCCATTTTATGATGGGTGTCTTAAAATCACCCATCATAAAACAGTGCCGAGTTCAACAGCACAGTGTTCAACAGTTTTTGATCGAAAAACGACATGACCTTCATCCCCCACCATCCCTATTCATATGATCTCACCCCAAGCAACTTCTTTTCCATTTCTCTGGGTGAAAAAGTCCTCAAAGGAAAACATTTTGCCAATGTGCAAGAGGCGAAACAAAAAATGGCAGAAGCACTGAAAGGCATCAAAGTCAATGAGTTCAGAAACTGTTTCCAGCAGTGGAAAAATATCTTGATAGGTGTATTACATCACATGGAGAGTACTTTGAAACTGACTAAGGTTTAAGCATGTAAGAATAAATACACAATTTTTATAAATTAATTCCTTTTGGGGGGTCTCCCCTCATAATGTCATAAATTGCTCTAAAAGTTTACTTTTCTGCCTTGTTAGCCATTTTCAAACATCTTTGGAGAGAAATATGTTAGAAGATTCTAGAGGCGATAGATATTAATAAAAGCCATAAGCCAAGAACTAGATATTATGTGAAGTTAAAAACCTCTATAGATAACTTTCAAGAGAAAGCTGTTAATCATGGATGAACTCACATTTAATGATCAGAAGCTGATATTTCTGATGACAGTTGTGTTTCCAAAAGGCAAGTGTTGTTGGCAGTGCCATTTATACCACTCCAGAATATTGCTTTTTAAAAATATGAGGGTGCTGCCTGCTAAGAGGTAATATGTTATACTGTTACATTTCTTTTCAGAACCAAACCTGTCTCTTATCATGAACGAGCTCTCTTTTCAGATTGCAACTCAAGATGCAAATGTTCAGAGACAAACTGGGAACCCATGTGTGGTGAAAATGGAATCACATATGCATCGGCTTGTCTTGCTGGTTGTCAAACCTCCACCAGGAGTGGAAAAACTATAGTAAGAAATCTTCTCTAAAGTGTGTACCAACAGGCCTGCTACAATAGATAACTATACAACACAATGCGGGGACTCTAGGGCCCACAGAAGCAGACCGTGCTCATAGGAACACTGGCTTTTACTCTGCTCTTGTTTTTTTGTGTGGAGACAGCAAATATAGAGAAACTGGAGTTGTTGCAAGAATTAGGCTAAGATTTAGAATCATGGAACGGACTGGAGGAGCTCTGTAGTTATGTAGTCTAATTCTCTTATTTTGCTTTTAAGGAATATTAACCTTGAATGAGAAAGTATAAGTCATAAGATTATACAGTAAGATCTGTATTGGGATCCAGATCTGCTGACCCCAAGACTCATGATTTCAGGGACAAGACCAGTAGAGGTCAGTGTTAGGAAGTCTAGCCCGAGAGGTCTAGACCCAGGGGGTCAGGAATCAGGTTTTGAGAATGTTGATGGTTCTGGGACAGCTCTTCCTGAGAAATCAAGCAATTTCTATAATAAAGAGTCGGTGGCTGGAATGAAGGGTTTTGTAGGGTAGAAGAGGATGATGAATTTGGAAATACAGATAGAAAACCAGTTGTGAAGGATGTCATTATTAAGAGACTCATCCCTCTAATCACGCCTTTGCATTCCTGTCTCACACACAGACTTCCTTGTATTTGCTGTACGTACCGAACAATGATCACACAGCTCTATGCTTGTGGCTAGCGAGGTCTGCCTGTATTCGACAGTCCTCGAGGGTTGAAGATTAAACACATATGTATTTACACATGCTTATCAACGATACAAGAATGCTTAGGCAAACACTTCTGCTAACGCAGAGTCACACTTGTTGATTTTCTCTATGTTTACTGATATTCTGACATTTTACTCAGAACAGAAAAGTTTGGTGTCTAGCAATAGAAAGACTACCCATCCATCTGAAATCTGACTTTTCACCATCCCTCCCTTTTCACCCTTCTTTCCTTTCTTTTTATTTTTCTTTCAACCCCGACTCCTTTGCTCAGACTGCTTGAGCAAAAGCAGTTTCTTAACCAAAACTTCACTTATTGAAGACATTGTATGCCAGGGACTAAGAGAAGTGTTTTTAAAACAAAATTGCATTCCTCGAGTAAATGGGTATTATTTGGTTTGTTTTCCTTGTGTGAGAACTGAGGCACTAAGATACAAGGGACTCCTAAAAATCACCTATCTAGTGAGAGACAGTCAACACTCAAAAACTTTTTACCAGACATTCAAAAGAAATCTATGTTGCTACTCTTTCTTGGAAAGTAAATGAAACTTTTACTTCATTATCTAAAAATTCATAAGCTTTTCTGTGATAAAAATGGCAACTTACTATATATACACATTCATACGTGAAATTTACAGAAATAAACTGATGAGAAATTATAAAAGTTGCCTCTCTCTCCAAGATTTAGTTGAGTTTCATTCACCAAGGCTTTTTTCCCTAGTAACTACTATACATTCTGTCATATCCTCAAATTTTTTATTTATTTAGCATTTTTATTGAGTGCCTGAAATGAGAGCCTACTTTAGGCTCTGGGTGTGTAGTGATGACAAAGCAGACAGTTTCTTCCATGGGTTTCATTCTAGTGGGAATATATGTTCAAACATAAAAGATTATATAATACTCTGATAGGTAGTAATAAGCACTGTGAAAAAAGGGGGATTAGATGGAAAGGGTGGCGAGGTGGGGGTATCATTTTGAATGGTGGATCATGGAAGCTCTCTTTGATTAAATGCGGGGGCAGGGACCTGAGTGCATGAGCCAGCCATGTAGCCATCTGGAAGAGCTGCCCAGCAGAGATGACAGCAGGGCCATGGCGCAAGGGTACTTGTTCGAGGCTTGATAAGGGCATGATGGGAACCCATGGGTGTGGCTGAAGCAGGAGAACAGGAGAAAAATCACTGAGCAGTTAGTTATGTGCAAGATCCACAGGCTACATCATAGCTAGTGCATAAGCCACTTTAAGGATTTGGGATTTTATACAAGTGTTATAAGAAACCCAGAGACACAGACAGACAACTGTATAGTGGTTACCAAAAGGAAAGGGTTTGGTGGGGTGGCAGAGGATAAAGGGGGCCAAGCACATGGTGATGGAGGCAATTTAACCTTGGGTGGTGGGCTCACAATGCAACATACGGTTTGTGTACCATGATAATGTACACTGGAAACCTGTGTGACCCTATTAGCCAATGTCACCCAATAAACTTAATAATAAGTAAGCCATTGGAAGGTCAAGAACAATGATATAGTTGGACTTCCATTTGTAAAGGCTCACTTTGGTTACTGTGAGGAAAACACAAGAGCTGAATGAGTAGAAATAACTTGAGTACAAAGAGGCCACAGCGATAATCGAGGTGAGAATAATGGTGGTTTAGACTTGGAAGTGGCAGAGAAGGAAATAAGGTACCATTGGATTTGGTTAGATTTGTTGGGAGGCTGTTCTATAGGATCAGTAGTTTGTAGACCAACTATCAGCTGTTTGGATAATGAAATGTTACTTCTAGAAATTTTGCCTTTTTTGATATATTCGAATAGAAAAATACATAATAATATTTTCCTTATTGTTTACACAATGCATGTATACCATACTGTGAAGTCTTTTAAAATAAATATTTATCTTTTTAATTTTATTTAAATTTCACTTCAATAATTGGACTTTTCCCTATCTTGTTACAGATATTTCATAACTGCACCTGTGTGGGAATTGCAGCCTCAATATCAGGAAATTTCTCAGGCATGGTGGGCAGATGCCAAAAAGACAATGAGTGTCCCAAAATGTTTCTGTATTTCCTTGTAATATCAGTCATCACATCCTATACTTTATCTTTGGGTGGCATACCTGGATACATATTGCTTCTGAGGTGAACACTGATTCTTCCGCCCCAATTTTAATATCAGACGTGCTGTAATCATCTAGAGCAGTGGAATTATTGTGATTCCTTACAGCTCTCTCGGGAAACTTATCCAGCATCCTCTTTATACTTTGATACTTAGGTTTTTATAACAAACATGATGTTGAATAGAAGTTTTCCTAGTTAAAAATGTTTGCAAACCATTGGTCTGGAAAGAATGTTAGTGCCTACACCACCGTTACCACTCAAAAAATACTATTTGGTATAAATAGTGGTATGTTTTTTCTAATGTTGGTGGTGTTAACTAGTATAGACTAAATGTGTTTTAGATTACACATGATTTCACTGAATTATGAATAATAGAGTTTATAAGATTTTTTAAAGGCTCATCTAATACTACAACATTATGTGCTTATTACTTTTTAAAAATATAGTCTTGCTCTTACTGGAATTATCTGTGTGTGTGCGCACACACGCATGCACACTGGAAGGGGACATTTTAAGGGCTTTTGGATCAGTTGAGGATCCTAATCTATGAACGTGATGCCAATGACTCCAAACATTTTTGCTTATAAAAACTCTAAAAGAAATTTTGATACTGTGTACCTCTGTGCATATTTGAGTGGGCATCTAAAAAATTTCTTATCAGTGTCCCAGGTTCGATTCCCAGCCAGGGTACATACCTGGGTTGCAGGCCATAACCCCCAGCAACCGCACATTGATGTTTCTCTCTCTCTATCTCCCTCCCTTCCCCTCTAAAAATAAATAAATAAAATCTTAAAAAAAATTCTTATCATAAGTTTAAATAGTAACTAAGCATTGATTTCCAGTATGTTGTAAATATTTTTATTTTAAAAAATAATGATTTTAAATATAGGTCACTCTTTTAAATGTAACCAATGAGATCTAAAGAACAGTGATTAAATAACCAATATCACCTAATATAAAATCATGTAAAAATCTTTAATAGTCAAAATGTTGCATATTTCTTTCTTATCCTTGAAATTATATCTTCATTCAACTTCCCTATAGACTTTCCTTTTGTTATAATGTAATTTATATTAAACACTTGTTATTAGCTCTTCTTTCATAGATCTCTATATTAATGTACATAAATTCAAATTTTTCAATGTTTTATAACCAGTGTTCTGTATAATTTTTTTCTGATTGAATTAGCCTTTCAAATATTAGTATTATACAATTAATCAAAGTAACCTAAAAATGTTACAAATGTTTATATATTTACTTAACAAAAAATCAATTTTTATTGGAAAATTATTTTTTATGAGATGAATTAGGTGACTTTTAAATTAATTAATATAGCTAAAAATGAATATTAAGTTATTTGAAAATTAGAGCAATAAAAAGTATTGTATACATATTTAATTTCCCAGTTTATACTACAGAAATTGATTAGGAAAGACAAACAGAACACAGGACCTGATATCCACAAATCTGATTTTTGGAAAAGTGTTTAAGGAGAGCATGAGATGTTTTCAAATGGGAGCATGGGTTTGAAAAGATGGGAAATCATTGTCTCAGAGTTCTCAGGCCAGGATCGCTCTTCATGCACGGCTATTTTGTCACGATCTTCTTTTCCTGTGCCAAGTAGTTAATGGGCCAAATGAATAATCAGGCTACTAGAGGAAGAGTTTTCCTCACCACCAGTTCCTCAAAGGAGCCAAGAATGAGATGAATGTCCTTGAATTGAAGGAGAAAAGTTGTGTTTCTTGCCTCTTTTAAAGCAGAGACTAAATGAAATTATACATATAAGTTGAACTTAGCATCATGGTTAACACTTAATAGTGCATATTATATCGTCATTTTTCTTAGTATTAAAACGACAGTCCAATCAGCAACAGCTATTCAATCTTATTAGGATGCTCTTGTTATTTTAGGTACTCATGAACTCGGCTGGAAAATTCAAGTTCCCACTGTTTAGCAAAAATACTTACCATGCCACAGTAATTGTGATTGTATCCATCCAGATCAGTATGGTCCTGTGCTTTCAGACCAGAACCACAAAAACTAGTTAAAGGTTATTAATTCTTTATTATTGCCTCAAATTCTTGCAATCCTAGAAGATTGCATTTTTTCTGTCTTTATTGTTTGGCTGATTATAGGGCTGATTTACCTTCTAGTAATATTAACTATAAATTCCTTGATGTAGTGCCTTTAATTTTGCATAATTTGCCTTCCCTATGCTAGGACACTAGTGGGATCTCCATAAGTGCTACTTGAATTCTAACATCACTTTGTGTGTGTTAAGTAGATTGTCACTAATGTTACTATTTGCTTTAATGGAATATATATAAATTTGTAATAGTTCTTTTAATGTTTTCAGGTGCATTAAGCCACAACTTAAGTCTTTTGCGCTGGGTATCTACACTTTGGCAATAAGAGTTCTTGGTAAGTATAATCTATGTTTTAAGTATGGTAGCCATCACAAGGGTATTTGGAATACTTTTCTAAATATTTTTTAAAGATTTTATTTCTTTTTTATTTTTAGGGAGGGAAGGGAGGGAGGGAGAGACAGAGAGAAAGAGAGAGAGAGAGAGAGAGAGAGAGAGAGAGAAACATTAATGTGCGGTTTCTGGGGGTTATGGCCTGCAACCCAGGAATGTACCCTGGCTGGGAATTGAACCTGGGACACTTAGGTTCCCAGCCCGCGCTCAATCCACTGAGCTACGCCAGCCAGGGCTAAATATTTTTATAGAATTAGCATGCATGACTAAATGATGTAGGTGGTTAGCACCCTATTCTTTTATTTCCTTTCTTTCTTCATTTCTTCCTTTCCTCCTTCCTTCCCTTGACTTTTCTCTTCCTTTGTTTCAGAAATATATCTACTGAGAGCCAGTGTTGGGCCCATGTTATAATAAGATGAATTTGTGAGAGTAATGACATTTTTTGCTTCATAATCTTGTCTCTTCCCACATTGGTCTATTTTAAAAAAATCCATTGCTGTTGTAGGAAAACCCTCTGAAAGAGGAGCAAAAATATGAATTAGCAAGAAAGCCTAAAGCCTATATATAATTTTTTCAGTTATTAAAATGGAAGTCATTCTTTTGAACTACTGTCAATGCTAGAATATATCATTTTGGTAGAAAGGTCTGATCATTCAATCAAAGCAGTACAGCTGATTTGATGATTTTTTAAATGTAATTGGAATTGTACCAGATTTATCAATATACATTAATTAAAACCCATAGGACCTGGCTGGCGTAGCTCAGTGGATGGAGCGCGGGCTGGGAACCAAAGTGTCCCAGGTTCGATTCCCAGCCAGGGTACATGCCTGGGTTGCAGGCCATAACCCCCAGCAACCACACATTGATGTTTCTCTCTCTCTCTCTCTATCTCTCTCCCTTCCCTCTCTAAAAATAAATAAATAAAATCTTTAAAAAAAAACATAAGAAATAGTATGAATGATTCACATAAGCTTTCTGCTCTTATTAAGTTTATATTCTAAAGAATAAAGTGAAACAATCATAAAGATTCCTTGGTAATTCAACAAAAAAGAATTACCAGAGAGAAAAACAAACTCAGACCTTTGAAAATCTGAAATTAATTTGGCTTACAAAGATCTTGATATAAAATAGGTACAGTATATGAAGCTACAATATAATCCTGATAATATTGGAGAGACAATCCCCCCTTTTGCTGCTGATAACTGCAAGTCTGATCTCTTTTTCCAAGACGTTGAGTATTTCTTTGTTCTTTGTTGTTGTTGTTTTTGTCTTTCTCTGTTTGACTTGACTTAATATCTCTTAGCATGAGTATGAACTCCTGATAGAGTTATACAATGTGTTGAATGGCATAGTTGCATGCTTGAAAATGTCATCAGTTGTAGATACACACTGAAATATACACAAGGGAACTGACATGATGTCTGAGATTTCAAAAACAAGTTTCAGGGATTAGGGGAGGTGTGGGTCTGGAAATAGATGACACAAGGATGACAAAATATTGACCTTTATTGAAGTTAGTAATGGCACATGAAGTTTTGTGCCACACAGGATGATATAATCATCCTCTCTGATTTTGTGCAAGTTTGAAAATTTGCCATTATGAAAATTTTAAAACACACACAGAAATTTGCAAGCATTCGGATTTTTTTGGCCCTTCACAAGAGCAATTGAAGTTAGATATTACCTAAATTTTTTTTGAAGATTTTATTTATTTTATTTATTTTTTTAAAGAGGGAAGGGAGGGAGAAAGAGAGAGAGAGAGAAACATCAATGTGTGGTTGCTGGGGGTCGTGGTCTGCAACCCAGGCATGTGACCTGACTGGGAATCGAACCTGCGATGCTTTGGTTCGCAGCCCACGCTCAATCCACTGAGCTACACCAACCAGGGCTCACCTAAATGTTTTTAACCCAAATGTAAATAATCCATTAAATTGAATAATATATAAAGAAACAAATTTTATTTAAGACAACAAATAATCCAAATTGACTGTTAGATAGATTTAACTAATTGCTTTTTTTGTTCATGGGACTTTAGCATAATAGAACCAGCTAGTTCTTTCTTGAATCTAGAGTCTTTATCTTCTTGGTATATATAGCGACCCCCTTGCAAATGATTTCCTTATGTAAATTTCCCTTAAAAAAAAAGAAACATGTCCTCTTTCTTCAGAGCTTCTCCTATCTTCTGTTTCTCAAAATATTCAGCTCAAAATAATCTTTATACCAGAGGCATGTTTTGGGGTGGCATGTTCTACAATGCCCTGGTATCTCCAAAGCAGTAATTTTTGGACTGAAATTAAGTAGTTCTAGATAATCATTAATTTTAGGATAACCAAAAGGATGCATGTGTATATATATATGTGTGTGTGTGTGTGTGTGTGTGTGTGTGTGTGTGTGTGTGTGTATTTAGTAGCGATTATTTGTTTTTCTCACAGCAGGCATCCCAGCTCCCGTATATTTTGGAGTTTTGATTGACACTTCATGCCTCAAATGGGGATTTAAAAGATGTGGAAGCAGAGGATCCTGCAGATTATATGACTCGAATGTTTTCAGGTACCGTATCAATCCCATTCCCACATCTCACTGCTCTCCCCTCTCAGACTGTCACAGTGCCGCTGGCATTAAGAATTCCTCATGTAGTTTCACTGCTTGTAAGGAGGATAGTCTAGTCAAGGAGCATATTTATCCTATTTTATAGGATAAATCTGTTATCATGTAATTATTTGGCTATACCTTTAAATTTTCTCCATTCTTAATCTTAACTTGCTTTTTTAATGAATAATCATTTTTAAAAAATGACATAAAATTCCAGAATAGCGCAGAATTCTGAAAATTTATGCACGCAAATGAGTAATTCCCTGAACTCAGAGGCATTTAAATTTAGGTCACATTTTGGGTTTATTTCTATTCTTTTTCAAACTGAGCCAAACTGTCCCATTTGCGTCAGCTGTAATCCCCCTGGGCAGGAGTTGAGTTGGCACTAAATCTATCCGGCTTTTATTGCCAAACTGATGTTCAATTATTCCAGTACTTGAAATGCATAAAAGTAAAAGGTTTTCTCTGTGAGTGTGAGTGTGTATGGAGCTGAGGGACATGGCTTTTTCACTATGGCATCATTCACTCCAATTCATCAAACAATTTAGTCCCCTTATTGCTTAAAGCAATGCTTCAATGGCTTAAAAGCAAGTGGGAGTTTTTTAGATTTTCAATCCGAGCATTTTCTGGAGAACTAAACCTGGTGCTGAGCCATGTAAGTTGGAAGTTGGATGCGAAGTGAGCCAACCATCTCAAGTAAGTTTGTTTGATTTAATAGGCTTTGATGTAAAGTGAGAAATTTACTTTGGTCTTTGAAAGGGACCCAATTTGTGAGAAGAATTCAGCTTTGCTCACATGTGCTAAGGCAGTGTTCCTTTCAATGCAAAGACAGTGCAACTCAATCAGAGACTGTGCGTGCATGTACAAGGTGACCAGAATGAATCACCCAGCCTGTCCTCCCATGCCTTCAGTCATGCCTTATGACAGAATGCATAACTAAAGGCTTCTCGTGGAAGAAACTGACTAAAACCTCTGGTTTGTTCTTAAGCCATTCTGTTCTGCTGAGATCTCCAGTTCCCCCTTAATGTTGCTTCTTGCAGTTTTTCTGTAAAAGTGAATTTGGGCAAGGTTCAAAGGTAACTACAGAATTTGTTATTCTAACCTAGAAACTTTTGAAAGTTTGAAGTGAAAACTTTTGAAGTGAAAGGGACAGTATACAGAATTACCCTGGGACAACACTAGCATATACAGGCACTGTTTTCGGCAGAATGGGACATGGTCACCTGGACAAGGAAATAGTTTACAGAGAGGGTAGAACTGATTATATACTTAGTAGTAACTGCAAATGATGATGCTATTAAAATATTACTTGATGTAAGCAAAATGTTCAGAGGAAGGCCTTTTATGGCCAATGAATCTGCACTGTTGAAGAAACCATCCTCATCACAGTTTTTTTGAATTTAATGGATTTCATTGGTTTTGATATTTACTGAATGACACTGTTACCTTCCTTTCACATTTTATTTAAAGTCTCATAGTTACAATAATTAAGACTGAGATTCTCTCTTCTTCTAGACACATATATTTGGGACTAACTATGCTGCTGGGCGTAATGTCCATTTTCCTAAGTATTTCAGTGCTTTACACTTTAAAGAAAAATTATGTTTCAAAGCATAGAAGCCTCAGAACCAAGAGAGAAAGAACAATGGTGTCTACAAGAATCAGGAAGGAGAGTTGTGCTACAAGTGACCTCTTACTGCGACCCAGCTGCTGGCCAGGCAAGGAGACACAGCTTTAGAAAAATGATGTCTTATGCCATCTCTTCTATTTTCTGGAAATTCTGCAAACCAATTTGAATCAACATGTACATTCTTTATCCTTTTGAAAAACATCTACTTTGTTTTTGATACTAGTTATTAGATAATGCATCTGATAACAAATAGAATTAATCATATTATAGAAAATATAGATAATGAAAGTAAAAATTTTATTTATATATAAATCTCTTATGTTATTTACTCAATCTGCTTCATTTACCTTGTGCCCATTGACGTATTAGTTATATTCCTAGTAGAACAATTGTCCCTATAGTCTAATAGCTATGTGTAAAGTAATTTTTAGGCTGAGATACTAATCTAGGAAAAGAGAAAACTGTTAAAAATTGAACCACGTCTTGGCCTCTTTCAAACATCACCTTAATGATGTTGTTAAGATAGAGCCAGAACATGTTGAGAAAATTTTCATTTTAACCTTCTCGTTTCTTTTGAAATACCATCACTGATGTAGAAATGTATAGAGGTAAATGATCTTAGGGGATTTGAATTTTGGATAATTAGTTTTTCTACCATTTATTGCATGTGCTTTATGTGTGACATTTTAAGTGACCATGGTTGTAAAGTAATAAAATTAATATAAATGTGCTTTATTATCCTTCTATGAGTTCAGTGAATTTAAAAATAATGTTAAATATAATAGTGTCCATATTATAGTTTACATAAGCAGCTCCAGACTTATGTACACGATGTCATTAAAACACATATCTGAAAGTTGAATTTCTAAAAGTGTACAGTAAACTTAGGTGCTCTAACAGGAATGCAGAGCGATGGTTTGAGTGGTGTGGTTCCCGTTGGTGCTCCCCCCGGCACCTCTCACAGGGCCCGAGGGCTTCTGTGCAGAGGGCTGCTGCTGGCATGGCCTGTCAGAGACCCCTCTGTTTCTCTGCAGCTGAAAAAGTCAAGACAGGCATTTCCTCTTTGCTGGCTACCTGGTGCTTCTCTGCCTAAATGTAGTAGGTACAAGAGTCCACCATCTTTCATCTTCAGCTTTATTACACGCTATGTTTTTCTTCCTCCATCACAGCTGCACAAGAGGGACCTGCTGGCCCTCCCAAGAAAAGCAGACTTAAGGTGGAGTTCACCCCAGTGGAGTCTTGAAATTGTACAATTCTAAGCAGCCTTTTGAACAAACAGAACAATAAATAGGGCACTTCCAACAAGGAATCTTTTCAAGGTGTGTCATGGAACCTAAATCCAAAAAAATTGTCCAGCTCAAAAAACACAGTAGTACACAGAGGAAGAATCAAATAATGCAAACAACATGGTGTGCATTTTAATTTTTTTCTTTATATACCAGTCCTGTGAATTGAAATGGAAAAAACTGGAGATGAAAAGTTTGGGGATCGAGAGTGGAAAAATTTCCTTTGAAGACATATTAATTTTGTCATTTTATTTAATTAGCAATGCAAGGATTTTTTATACTTTACTATTTTTTTAATTGAAAACAGGTTTATGTTTTGTTTCCAGCAGGCCCACTTCAGACCTGTGGCTGCCCTAATAATTTGTAAGCAGGAATCTTTTTTGTCATCTGAATATCAATCTTACCCATGACAAATATTTACTGAATGGGTAAGTGAGTACACTTGTCAAGAGTTTTCTTTGTAGAGGTATAATTAAAATTCAAGTTCCTCATCCTGTCTCCCACATCCTCTGTTTTTCAAAGCTTTTTGTAGCAGTACCCTGAAAAATAACTACTTTACAAGTAAACTTTAAAACAGAATCCTATCCAATGTACTCTTGAATAACTTAAAAAATAAAAATCGGCATAAAGGATGATTAATTTTGTTCATAAAAACACTGAATGTCAAGGAAAAGAAGGCATGTTTACACATAACCATTAATTCAACAGTGGAATTATATATGCTAAGCTCAGTTGTGTGGCATAAGAGGGCATCATTTTGTGGGGAATTGAATGTACTAAAAGGAACCTTGATTTTAGAGGAGTAAATTCATCTGACAGAAGCAAGCAGGCTTATAACTTCTCAGAAAGAACATGGCTTTTTTAAAACCAAGCCCCATTTCAGAGGTCAAAAATATCCCCTCAGCGCCAGAGTCAAACATTAGAGGTAAGGCCTTGACTGACATGTGGAATCCCACAATTGCTCCATGTTCAATGGGCCACTCTCTTTTCTTAGTCTACAGCCATGGCCCCTAGAGTTGAGTAGCACCTCAAAGGAGCATCTGATTCACTTTAACCTGCAGACAAATAATGCTTCAACAATATCATTTTATAAATGGAATGGTTTAAATTGGGTTAAATGATTTGCTGAAGGTGGAGGCAGTCAGATTCATGCTGGGTTCTTCCATTACATCACTATGCCTCTAAAATAGGTAATAAAAACAAATCATCTGAAACCTCTAAAAACAGTTGGAAGAACATTCGTGACCATCAGCATTTAAGAAATCTCCACTCAAATGTTACATATTTATATACTCATATATAAAGAGAGAGGGAAAGAATAAAATGACTCTAACACTTTCTTGGGAACAATAATTGTTTTTATAAGTTTTATAGCAACTATTAAATGTAACAATATTCAGCATTTTCCTTATATGTGCTGAGGGCTTTAGGCACATTATCTCAATTTCAAAGGTCAAAAGAACCTTATGTGTTAGGTATAATTACTGGTATTTTCAGAGGCAGAAACTGAGGCTTAGAGAGGTTTAGTGACTAGTCTGAAGTCGGCAAGTTCTATTCGACCAGTTACGTTATGCCTGTCTTAATCTATATCCAAATTTGCTGTCTTCCTCTAACTTTCCTAAATGTTTATGTTGTACATCTGCAATAGGAAAGATTCAGCATACTAAAACATGTCCATGTTTTTTTAAGAAATCAAATGGTACAAAATGATTTAAAATGAGAAGTAACAGTCTTTCACCCCAGTTTCACTCTGTTCCTCAGATGCAATTACTTCTAACCAGTTTGGTTTGTTGGATTTTCTGATGGTTACTTCCATATCTTTAAATAATATGCACATAACATTTTCTTGAATTATTAAAGTTAGGCACTGTGTATTGACTCTCTACTCCAGGAGTGTCAAGCTCATTCTTACTGGGGCAACATCAGCCTCATGATTACCTTCAAAGGGCCCAAATAATTTTAGGACTGTATAAATGTAACTTTACATTCAGCCATTTGAAGGCAACTGCAAGGCTGACGTGGCCCTCGGTGAAAATGAGTTTGAAGCCCCTGCTCTACTCTGATAGATTAGAACTGATGTCATTACTCATTCCCTGTTGGTCTTCCCCTGTTATCTGTGCATACTGAGATCACTATAGTGAGTTCCTCAAATGTCACTTCAATACCTTCATTCATTTCTTGTTCAATAAACATGAAAAGTATCATGTGTTACCCCACTTTGCAAAATGAAGTTCTTAAAGCTCCCTCCCTTCCCACCAAATGGCCATACTCTTGTACATCTCCCTCCTTCTAGTGGTTGTACCTTTACTTTCACATTGTCAAAGAACAACAGCATTTTTAGTCAACTCTGTTAACACTAGATCTAAGGATCTAGGAAAGGCCTGAATGGTTATGGTTAAAATCAGCTTCATCTACTGTTGATGCCATAAAATTACACCATTAAAAAAAAGAATGAATATTGAATGGAAACTGTAATTGAAAAAATGAGGATAAATACAATAAGTAAAACATAAGGAAAAAATGAAAAAAAGAAGGGACAAACTATGTTAAAGAAGATCTACAATGAATCAGGCATTAGAGGTACATTAACATTTAAATATTAATAAATGTGGTGTAAATATTTTATGTTTGAATAATTTTGGAACATGTTGAGTTAGTGGTAACACTAACTCATATGACTTCAAAATCCCCCAGATTCTTTACTATGACGATGTATAATGCCAGTCTCCTGAAGGGGATGTGTTAGGTATAAACTATAACTCTTATGTGGCATTAAATCCACTTTTTTATTAACAAGTCTTGGATCTAACTAATTTTCAATACAATATATTTGGAAGACACAAATTTTATACTCCTGTTTAATTATTTTCTATCATTATCAGCTTATGGTATCAGGATTATGCAGTTTTATAAAATTAACTAGAAAGCTATTTAGATTTTAATGCTTTGGAAAAGATTTTATAGCATAGGAATTGTCTGTTCCTTTTACATTTGAAAGAATGTTTTCAGCCTTTTTAAGAACCTCATTAAAAAGTTTTGATTAGTTATTGTCATTGTTTTAAAACACATGTTTACTGATTCAACTTTCAAAATTTAAATATTTTTCTAGAAAAATCTTACAGATTTTTAAATGATGCTTTTAATTTTATAAAGCTAGAGCAATTAAGCTTAGGTTTATTATTATACTATTTTCCCAGTCCTAATATTGTGTACTTGGATTTATCTTTTTTATGTATTATGTTCATGAGAAACTTATTTCATTGGAATTTTCAAAGAAATGGCTTTTGGATTTTGCTTCTCTGCTACCTGATTAATTTTTGTGTTTTACTTTAATTATTTTCTTCCTTCTGCTTCCCTTAAGCATGCTTTAAAAAATATCTTTACCTAAATTTTTGACTTAAAGGTTTATAACTCTATGCTCTAGCTTAGTAATGAAAACAATATACCTTAATGGACAGCTTTGTTTATAATCCAGAAGTCTTCCAAGGTGCAATCCCAATGACAGTTTCCTAATTGATTACAATGACATTCTTGATTTTTCTATTTGATTCATAATTCCTATTGCTCTGTAACAATGAGTTAAAATTTCCCTGTGTTTGGGTATTTTACTTTTTAAGATTATCTTCTAATTTTTAGATTAATCATATTTATAATTAGGAAATGTAGCCTACTCCATTTATCCTTTTGGAAATTTATTGAGAGTTTAAGACCAAAAACCATAAAGCTCCAAGATATATGATACATATAAATATCACTGGATTTTGTAAACAGACAAGAAAAATGACATAAGATATATCAAATTTTGAAACTTGTATGGTTTCATGAACCAATGTCACCCCAATAAATTTAATAAAAAAAAGAAGCATCACTTTGAAAAGGACTCAAAATAATAGTTAACCTTTCACAGATACTCCAATTACCTCCAAAGAAACACCTCAAGAATCAGCTGAACAAACTAAACCAAGCACAGACTTTGGTAAGGAAGGTTAGTTACAATATTAACACGAAACAACTAACTGTTTAGCTAAATCTATTACACATAAAATACAATGAAAGACCCTAAATAACCTTTTTAGAAAATAAGATAGAATAAAGCATTTTAAATTATAATAACAACACACAACTATGGAGGACTAGAAGTAAACTTAATAGGAGATACTTGGTATGCATATATTTTTTTAAAACTGTAACATTTTACTGAGAAACACAAACCATAGTCCTGATAAGAAGACTCAATAGTATAAGAATATCAGTTTTCAAAATTGACACATTTTCTTTTGTTTTTCTTATATGTTATAAAACCAAGTGATATGGGCATGTCACATATCTGTAGTTAAAATCTGCTCACGACATTCTACTATTCAAAATTGTTCAGCACCTCCCAACATTTTCAGGAAACCTCAG